AAAATAGTGCATATAAAAGATACTCTCTATGGTTTCTGGTCTCAATATGTAGTGAGCATCTCGGGGACTATAGTACCTTTATAAAAGGGCTTACTAGACAACACAGTTCCATTATGTCACATGTCATCTCCCTTGGGAGCATTCAGTCTGAACTCCGCTACTTCCGGTCCGAGCCCAGTCTTGGAGCGTGCGTACCTGAGTTGATGACCAACAATTCCTATAGCGCTAAACCTCAGGACTACATTTGATGACAGGTCTCGGTTATGTCATGGGCCCACTTCTCCCAGCGTGGATCGACACGATCCCGTGGTAGAGTGCGTGCACCAAGCATGAGGTTGCCGGGGACGAAGCACGTGAGGTGCTCCATGCGGTAGTTAGGCCTGTACCATGTGGCTACTACACCTAGTAACTAATAATAATAGTATTATCATTAGTAGTAGCCACATGGTACAGGCCTAACTACCGCATGGAGCACCTCACGTGCTTCGTCCCCGGCAACCTCATGCTTGGTGCACGCACTCTACCACGGGATCGTGTCGATCCACGCTGGGAGAAGTGGGCCCATGACATAACCGAGACCTGTCATCAAATGTAGTCCTGAGGTTTAGCGCTATAGGAATTGTTGGTCATCAACTCAGGTACGCACGCTCCAAGACTGGGCTCGGACCGGAAGTAGCGGAGTTCAGACTGAATGCTCCCAAGGGAGATGACATGTGACATAATGGAACTGTGTTTTCTAGTAAGCCCTTTTATAAAGGTACTATAGTCCCCGAGATGCCCACTACATATTGAGACCAGAAACCATAGAGAGTATCTTTTATATGCACTATTTTACTGGTAGGGAAGGCAGCAGTCCGGTGAGTTCAATGCATTTTTCAGGTGATCCTAAGTATAGGGTCTGGGCTCACGATATGATGACTGCACTCAACAAGCATGCGAAGGCCCAGTATGGCTATTCTGCGGTGAGCCATTGGGACCACCTTCCTGTGCCTAGTGTTATCAGGTTTTCGACATCAACCAAGTGCCAGCACGACAGAAGAATGAACAGGAATCCTTCTTTACCGCGGAGACGTTGAAGTACCTCTACTTAACGTTAGCTCCACGGCATGCCCTCAATCTGGATGAGTATGTTCTGAATACAGAAGCCCATCCACTTAAAATTGCCAACCACTGATGTTCACTTCACTGCATCGATTTGGTATTGTGTTATTCGAAAGTTCAAAATCAACTTCCTGTGACCACGTAAGGATTGACGAATCTTCCTTTGGCCTTTCACATTCACTAATTTGGATACGTTGTCGCAATATATTTTCCCATTTTTCAACGAAGATCTTTAACATTTCTTCGTGGTGACAATATACATCTTCGCGTAACAGGTGCGGACTTTTCTTCGTACACATGTTCGTAATTGCCCATGTGGTTGTAATAGTTTTTGTATTGATGATATTTACGAATTTCCGCATCCCTTTAGCACTAGGAACTCAACACGTATAACATTCTGGATAATCGATACAGTGGGTTGTTGTGAATGTGAATGATAACTCTTTGCATAAACACGTCCTGATATCAGTCGTAGTAGTACCTGAAACAATAAAAGGGTAATCAACATATACCAAGCACTGCTCACATTCGGGCGAAATCGACTGTGTGAATAGCGCGGTGGATTGATAGTCCAAAGCACATAGGGATGACGAAACACATGGCAACTGTGAAGAACTGCGCGTTGGTGTACAACTGACCAGAGAGGAAACATACAATGATAAACGACCGTGAAGGGACATACACAGAACGGCCACTTGAGGGAGACTCCAGGCATGTAACCGTTAGTGATGAAATAGCTCAACAATAGCACCACGCTGCCACCAGTCAAGAGGAGTAACTGAACAGTCACAGTAGCAGTAGTGGAGGAACGGGGGAAAGGGCGTACTCCGATGAAAGCAGACCTCGGGAGTAAGTCCACTTGGGCGGCTGCAATACAGAAGAGGAGACAAGCACCAGAAGCACACAGGAAGGATAGTTGCGAGAAAAATGTATGCAGCTCGTTCCAGTAGTTCACTGGTACAGCCGCAACACCCAGGAGGCTCACAGCGCTGATGAGGCCCAACCACAGAGCCACTCGTATCTAAAAGAAGTCGTCAAAGTTGCATAAAAGTGAACACCTCACAGTGAGTTTGCTGAGAGAACGAGGTGACCGCTGAGACAGGTAGACCGCTATGAATCCCCACACAGGAGCGATTCCAAGAGCAGCAACAACCATGCCTATCCGGAATACCTAGAAAGAAAGAGAAACTGAAGGCATCAGTGGAATCAATTGTAAAGGTACTTTCGAGTGACCTCCAAACGCTGCCATTGTCTCACAGCCTCTGATATCAGAAAATACCAAGGCGCCTGTCAAAGTTGCCAAGCCGACTACACATGCAGTGTAAAGAATTACTATCTCTATCATGTTAAACCTGAACAGAATGCGTACCATATAGTTGGCACTGCTCCGTTATACCTTATATCAGCCAGACTCCGCTGTTTTCGACAAGGAGTCAACAGTTGAAATATTGCGGTGATCACTGAGGGACCGAGAAAGTGACATAAGAACACCGTAAACACACCTACTGCTCCTGGGGGCGTTAGGATGATTATTGGCCCTCTTGAAAGGGTCCACACTATCTAAACAAGACCATGAGGAAAATAACACTCCCAATGGCAACTCAGTTTACATCCAGGGAGTTCGTCGAGCTCAGCGCCACCGTCAAAGTCACTGAACGTTACCGAAGCAGGGGAAAGGTCATCATCTACTGCTTTGTTTCGCCAGGAGGGATCTATGTCGTCTGAAGCGGTACAGTGAGCATTCACCACTACTACCAGCTTCCTCTACCTGAAGGCAAGCTCGGTGTAGCATAATCATTGGTCTTGGCAGACTGGGAGGAGTTATCCATAGACAATTTTCAAAGATACTGATTAAACACCACTGCTATCTCACACATCTCCCAAACGCTGGGACACAGAAATCAACGCATGTTTACTCAGCAACAGCTGTTATGATCACAAAGACTTCTGTTATGAGCGGAGCAAACACAACTGATTAACCATAAACCCGCACTAACAGTCTCGGGTGGGCCTACACTACAAAGTGACGAGATTTCGAATACCTAGCACAAGTTCAACCCAATCCTGGTCTTCAAGGCGGACAGCATCAGTCTGTCGTAGAGTAGATAGAACCCCCGCCCATGCGTGAGCCTAACAGCTCTTGAGGCCGCTGGTACTGTCTAGTAGCAGTGGCATGAATAACAGTGAATCCACCAGGAGGAAGGCGACTCACAGACGGTCTCGGGAAGGCCCGAGTTTGCGTGCACAACACCTTCTCTCGCTCACTGGTTCTCTGACAACATGACATAGCCGTACTTAGCATTTGAATTCAATCCTCAATGACTTTCACTTTTTTCACAAACAGTAGGACACTGAAGTGATACTAGATATTCCATAACCTCTATGTCGGTCCTTCTCACAAGAGCAAAATTGTAAACACTGCCCTCCCCCCTAAAACGCAACTTGCCCAGTGTGTTGTGAAAAAAAGGGTCGGCAGGCGCGTTTTACTGTATATATCTTGTGACTCTGTACTCGACTGCCCTCGTGGACGTGAGGAGCTCCACGAGGATGATTATGATCAGGGCAACAACAACAACAACACTATACAAAATCGATCCAAGACTAAGTGCTCTCAGGTAGAAGGAATAGTAGAGAAAACGCCTACACACTAGGGTTTAAGCTTGGACTTCGGATTCGGGTCGACTTGAAATGCCCTCAAGGGCAATTTGTGGGGCGTGAACTCGACGAGGCGCCAGCCGCCTAGGGTCACCAACTTCAGCCAGCTCTTCCGTGGTGAATTTGAAGAGATCCCTTGGTAGTCCGCCAGCCTCCTCGATCTCCTTACCAAGATCCTTATGTAATCTCAGTTGATCGAAATATTCCAATGACAGCGCCAAAATAGGAGACATCCGCGTTTCTGGTTCGAATCTTAATAGTGCCCGTAGTAGCGCCTCAAAGCCTCGGTCCGCCTGTGGGTGTCCTCGCAAGACAACGCCCAACCCCTTCGGCTTGATGCAGGGAAATGCATTGGGATTGAAATCCTTGTATTTCGGATTCATAGCTGCAACCTGGATTAATGATGATACCACACCAATGTGAACTTCCTGAGGACCCACCTGTTCCGCCGTGGGCGTACCAAGGACTTTGATTATCTCCACTAACTGGTCGACCCCGGTTTCCCCTGAGAATATAGGGTACCCAAGACACATCTCCGCAATAACACAGCCCGTCGACCATATATCAACCTGAAGGTTAATAACGTTGCGTGCGGCTATTACTACTAATACTACCACTATTCCTACCACTACTACCGCTACTACTACTACTACTACTACTACTACTACTACTACTACTACTACTACTACCACTATTCCTACCACTACTACCGCTACTACTACTACTACTACTACTACTACTACCACTATTCCTACCACTACTACCGCTACTACTACTACTACTACTACTACTACTACTACTACTACTACTACTACTACTACTACTACTACTACTACTACTACTACTACTACCACTATTCCTACCACTACTACCGCTACTACTACTAATACCACCACTACTACTACTACTACTACTACTACTACTACTACTACTACTACTACCACTATTCCTACCACTACTACCGCTACTACTACTACTACCACTATTCCTACCACTACTACCGCTACTACTACTACTAATACCACCACCACTACTACTACTACTACCACTATTCCTACCACTACTACCGCTACTACTACTAATACCACCACTACTACTACTACTACCACTATTCCTACCACTACTACCGCTACTACTACTACTAATACCACCACCACTACTACTACTACTACCACTATTCCTACCACTATTCCTACCACTTCTTCTACTACTACCACTACTACTTTGGACGTATATCCCGTTGAGCCGAAAATAAGCTCAGGCGCTCTGTAAAACCGACTACAGATATATGCCACATTGTCCTCTCCCATAGAGAGCTTCTTCGCCGAGCCAAAATCGCATAATTTTATAGTATGTGTGCGCGGATCGACCAGAATATTCTGCGGCTTTATATCGCGATGAGCATATCCTTTAGCATTAACATATCCCACAGCCCGCAGTATTTGATACGAATATAGTTTGATCAACTGTGAAGGCATATAACTCTTCACTTTAGTATAGTACCTATAAGCCAATGTTTAACACAGTCGTACTTAGGGACTCTCACTTCATCACTTGATACAGATTGTCGGGGACATATTCCGTAACAAGGTTCAAGTACCTGAGCGGGCGCAATAGTAAGCAACGCCTTTTTCAACCTACAGATCATTCGGGGTTTCTCCAGCAGTGTGAAAAGCATGCCTGAACGCTACAACGTTGGGATGCTTGAGATCTTTCAAGGTTGGCAATTCCCTGTTCTTGAACCTTTTATCCTGGAATCTGATTATTATGGTAACCACCGAGAGGTTACACGAGGCGTCCCTACACTTTTTTGATAGCGACGGTCTCCCCGGTCTCCTGTACTTTAGCCTCATAGACGACCCCGAAGGCCCCCGAGCCAATTATTCGTTGAGCCTGGTCAGCGTTCCGGTATTGACGATAGTAATACTACTACCTTGTACGTGGACCCTCCTCTTCCTGTAGTTGTTGTTGATCGCCGCTGATCCCGATTGTGTACAGGCATGTAATGGTAACTCACCAAAGCCCTATGAAGTGGGCCTCGCCGAAACTAACAACAGATCACAGAGGCCCATTTAGTGACAAACTGTACTCGGCTTGATAGTCACTAATCATGTATGTCGGAAGTAGTGACGATTGAAAACTCCCGAAGGTGCGCAACGGTTGGTGTAAATCTCGCTCGCCCTGCGCTGTATCCATTCGATGCCGTTTACCACGATGTCCGCTGATACTGTCTCAGAAGGTGGTTGTTGATGACGCCTAAGAAGGACGTCAGTAAGGTGCGTAAGGAGAGGAAGAAGACCTCCAAGAAGGACGCTGGGAAGCCCAAGGTCAAGAGGGCTCTGACACCGTAAAAACCGTAACTGTTACATCGCGATGATTTTCATTTAGGTACTTTATGTTCGCTCAGGAGAACAGAGAGAAAGTCAAACTAGAGTTTGGGTTTGAGAATAGACAGTTGGGAGATATTGCCAAAAAATTAGGTGAAAAATGGAAAAATGTAAGACCCAGTTAGTGTCACTATTTTGCACGCCCTTTTGATCAGCTCTCGGATGAGGAGAAAGCTCACTATGTGAAACTGAGCGAAGACGACAAGAAACGATACGAGAGAGAAAAGAAGGAACTCGAAGCGCGAGAGGAGTCTTCTTCGTAGCAAGATTTTATGAGCAAAAAAGTGGTCATCATTGTGTTGGTATTTTTCTGAACTCAAATTTGATATCAAGTTGCTCTGTTGAGTAGAATGTATTCTTTTTACGGTACGAGTGTAATCGTGCCTTGCGTGTCTTTTCTGTCGAACTAGAGATTGAGTTTAGTAGTGGCGGTCTTCAACGACACCGATAGTTTCCTTTCTGACGTAGTCGTGATGAGAGTCGTCATACAACGAGTCACTCGAGCTAGCGTTACCGTAGAGAACAACGTCGTTGGTAAGATCGGTAGAGGTTTGGTGTTGTTGGTTGGCATCAAAGAAAGTGACACCATGTAAGTGACACATTATGTGATGTACTAATGACGAGTATTTCTCAGGGAGGAGTTGGACTACTGCGTGCGTAAGTGCATGAAGGTCCGTCTATGGGATGACGATAAGGGAATTGCATGGAGGGCCTCAGTGACCGATAAGGACTATCAACTTCTCGTTATATCACAGTTCACACTGTTCGGACTTTTACGCAAGGTCAGCATACTCAATGGTAACGGCATTTTAAATGCCACTTGTAGGGTAACAAGCCCGACTACAGGCTAGCGATGGGCCCCAATGATGCCGAACCGATGTATGATGAGTTCGTTAGACGCTGTCGAGCTGAGTATGGTGACTCTAAGGGTGACACTGCTGTACAGACTGGCATCTTTGGTGCTAATATGGGTGAGTTCATGTCACTAGGTTGCTTGCATTGATGTTGAATTAGATGTTTCCTTGAACAACGACGGACCAGTCACACTGGTAGTCGATACTGACGAGTACATGCCCAAGGATCCCAAAAAGCAGAAGTAGACTGCAGCACTGTGCATAACGATAATCGCTACACTTGATACTGATGTTACTGCTGTTTCTCGCTACAATTTTCCTATGACTTGCGTCTGCTCGTAGTCGAAAAGATCCATTCCATCGAGGAAAGAACGTTCACAGTGAATTGGCAGATTAATATTAGAAATTCTCATTGAAGTTGGGTGGCGCTCTAAGTAGAAGATAACAACACGTTGGTATGAGTGTAGAGTGTTACCGATATCATACTGCATGCGAATTGGAACAGTTTATGGTCAAAACGATCGGAAAAATAATACTGGCTTTATACACCCTTGATCCACCAAGGCTGCCACATACTCAGCCTATAGCTGGAAACGTCAATTAGAAAAACGCGTGTCTCACTTCACCACAATCCTCGTGTGAAAAACACCAAGTGATTGGAAATGGTAACTTCAAACAGGCACTTTGAGGAACACTCAAATTTGAGGTAGAGATGTGGATAGAATTCGGAGGTAGTCAGTTCAATCAATCTGACTCCCCTATGGTGACTGCTAAACTCAACAACAGTGCCTGCATCAACGACCATAAGCATCTCATGATGAGCAGCTGTCCTCAAGCAGCTGTGAATGCGGAGAATCTCTCAGAGCGAGGTGTCAATAGATAGTGTTCAGCGGCATGGTGATGTTCAGGGAAAGTAGACGGCTCCATCTGGAAAAAAGGAGTCAAATTACTTTCCAACTAGACTGACATTCACGACTTCTTTGTTAATCGGTGACTCCTATACGGGTGACTTCACAAAAACTATTCGATACCACTCCTTTTCCAATTCTCGATATTCACAGTGACAGCCTACCCTTCTTAAACAATCATCCACAACTTTCGAAGTGGGCCCGTTGTAATCCTCGGCGATCAAGCCTGTTGGCCTTGAGCTCATCCAGCACACATCACTCATAGTCTCAAGAGGCCGCTCATCATTGTCCACGACCGACACCAGCAATGGTGGGGTAGAGACGAAGCAGGCTGAACATAGAGAACGCCACTGGCAATGCGCCCAACGAGGAAGGGAGGGGGCCTGCCTTCATTCGGAGCTATAATGGCTTTAGTCCGTCTGTCTTGGTCGTGTACTCTATCATAGGCGAAGTAAGCACTAATGGCAGCAAGGGAGATGAACCAAATATTAGAGCACTGACAAGCCGTATGGATCTCAATCCATCCACGATACTTTCACTCACCCATGCAACTATTGACTTCAGCGTTTCCCCTGGATCAGATGTCGACGATCTTGGCGCGGAGTCTGAGACCAGTTACAGGTCGACCGGTCTAGCACTAGTGGAGATTCACTTTGTTGTCTCTGCACCAGAGAGGCGGTCCCTACAGGTGGTGCTGTTGTAGTAGTAGTATCCATCATGGACTCGTTGGCTGACAGAAACTTACCCTCCTCGGCAGAACTGATACTTCCATGCTACCTGACACTCTCCCCCTATCCCAGTCGCTGTGAGAGGGCGCTGGACGGGCAACGTCTAATAATACAAATCATGTTAAGAATTGCCTCCAAAGAGCCGTACTCAGAATGCTCATCGCTAGAGGCAACTCAACCACTGCTTCCTCGTCCTCACTATCATCATCATCATCTTCCTCCTCTTCAAAATCTGCCGATTCATCATGTCGTGGTTCGACTTCCATGAAATTAGCACCGATCTGGTATAGCAACACTTGACAAAGCTAAGGCTCAGTCGATTACGTTGTCGGAGATGCCCTCAGAGTCCATGATGCGCCTCAAGGCTGGACCCGGCAGCTTGAGGCCTATCGATAGCGATAAGCCTAGGACCAGGAGTACTGGTGATGGTAATAATAACATGATATGAATATTGGCTATAGAGAGCGTTCATCTTCACCATTGGTCAACTACAGACAGTTACGGTACTCAGTAAAGCATGCACACACAAAGTCAAATCAGCGATACTACTTGCCTAAGGGCCTCTGCAAACTCGTCAGCTCTCTGAACAGGACGATCAAGTGACGCCCTTTTCGATTCGATCATTCCTACTTCATTATGAATGTAAGCCGAATAAGCCCTCTCGACTGCTGCCAGGCGAGAGGCATCTTCCTCCAGCTCCAACAGGAGCAACAACGATACTTGATCCGCGTTAGTGATAAGATCCTAATAGAGGGGATATTATCACCAGCATGCCATGGACCAGCCCAGTACATGGTCCAAGAGTCCTGATATGATACAGCGCAAGTGGGACTTCAACAGTGAGCGATGTAGTTCGTTAAACCTTCCCTCAGGCGTGATCTCGTTGCGTGAGGGACAGCGCTGATAATGCTCTCCCTCTACTGCACTTGGATCGCGCACTGGGATTTCCGATGGTGACGATTCTGAATCGGGATGGTTTGTAAAACATTTGGTTCCTGGCGGGTTCACCATTCTCAGCTGGCGACCCGGGTTCGATCCCCGGGTCCGCCTCTGGCCAGTCATTGGCCCTTTCCAGCTCTTCATAATTCGGCGTAGCGTCCCACGTGTGTGGATCAATAGGGAAGGCAGTAGCCCACCAAGGGAAGCCATCGGACTCTGGAGGCTCCACTCGTCTACTCCTCCTACTATGGGTCGGCCCCGATGCTGATCTGGCCCGAAGCCGACGCGAGTTGATAATGGCCGGTGCGGCAGACCTGAGCTTGGCATTAACAGTGCTGGAGTAAGTGTTCGCTTTCCTCAGCTCGAGAGTTTCTTCACTAATTATGGGAGTTCACATACGACTTCGGGTAGAAATGTACAGAAATCAACGAGAATTCCGAAAATTTCCTCAGAATTTTCATGTTGCCACCACTGCGTATGGAAAGGTAACCTAATTCGGACAAAGACACTCTTACCTCGGTCGAAAGGAGGTCCTCGAGCCACTTCTACTTGGGGTCGATGCTGAAGGCAATAGAGACTACACGATGAATGCAACCCGCCCTTACCGTAAGGGCTGGTAGTTGCCCGGCTAGAGGGACGCTTTACTGGGCTACAGGATCGACAGTCATCGAAAAAGGTAGGACGATGCGTACTAAAGGGACCTTTGGAGAGCTCACTGTAAGGAAGGACTTACCGAAGTCCACTGGCAGCCTCAGTGATGGTAGGTTTGGCCTTCCGAGAGGAGGTCGCGAAGGACATGTACCCACGTCTACAGCCAGGAGTATTGGTAGACATTGGTCCTACTCCTCTCTCGTACATGGCCATGGCCTAAGGACAGTATGATGTGGAAAAGGAATGGTAACGATTTTGTTACTTCAGCAAAGGTGTGTTCCTTCTGCACAGCCCCTCTCCTGCGTGGGGACGTTGACCTGTGGCCGAGACATGTGAGCCCAGTGGCTCCAGTGCAGCTAGGGCAGTAGTACGTGGCACCATCGCCACCGTAGTAGTACAGAAGGCTGTCCATTCAAAGGGCGATCGATCGGCGATGCTGGAATGGATCTTGCGCGGAAGGCGGAGCGAAGCGCGTTTTGTTTTGCATTTTTCAAATCAACTCGCCTCAGTAGCCTTTGGGCAAGTGTAAGCTTAGAGTGAACATTTGGAAAGCATTTACCATCGCATGAGTGTTTCGTTATCAGTAGGAGGAGGGAGGATGTGTTCCGGATTAGTTTGTCCATCAACTCGACAGCTATCATCATGGGAAAGGCTGCCAAGGCAAAGAAAGCCGCTAAGTTGACCCCTGACCAAAGAAGGGCCGCTGAGATGGACGATGATGCTTTCCCCAACGACTTCGTTATGGATGGTGCTGGGAACATGCTCAACCGAAGGGACGTTATACAGGCCCTTAGTGAACGGGTTGAGGTTATTGACGGCAAGGATGCTACTTTCGTAATACCATCCTTTCCCTTTCTCTAAGCAGAATCATTGCTATGCTCAGGTGAGTAAAGTGAGGCCCACTGGAGGTACAAGGGTCTTCGGGAAGAGCTCTGAATGTATATTCACCAATATGGGCGACTTCCGGTCCACCCTGGGCTTTGGTTTTGTCCAGTGTCCTCAGACCACAGAATGTGTCACACTTCGGCTCAGACTGACGTCCCAGGTACAGCGCGGGTGTTGGTAGTGTTTATGCTTACCGTAACTGCAGATCATTACGCTGGTGTATGATCCCGATGAGGAAGAAGCCGCTACGGTCACTGATGAGGTATTGCCGATTAAGGAGGGCGAGCAGCCTCAAAAGCTCAAATTCAGAGAGTAAGGTTTGGATCACTTCCCACTACTATTATTGCTACTATGGTGCGCTCCCTAGGTACGCTTTCGATGATGTGGTCTCCTATACTGGCGACCCTAGCATCAGCCACGTTCGCCTCGTGAACTATGCTGATGTCCAAGTTCCCAAGCAAGAGGACATCCACGATGAGCTCCCCTACGTGGACGTCAGGTTGGGTAGTAGACCATTCCTGTCGACTTGTGTCGGTGATGGTATTGATAGGCACTGCGGGCCGACTCATCTTTGTCCGCCCTGATTTCACACATACTATGTGTACGAAGTTGTTGTTGTCGCAAATCAAAAAGCAAGCCACTGATACTGCCACGCTGGTGGCTGAGCAGGAGGCCAACGAGAAAAGGAGAGTAGAGAACATCAGAGCTGGGTAGGCCTTAACTTGGCGATACCCTCAGAGGACCATTTTCCTTATGCAGGTACGTCCCCCCGACCGGCCTAGAGGCCTATTCTATGTCCGTGCCAGAGGGAGGCATCAAATGCGACGATAATGCACTTACAGTAGAAGGCCTGAACATCTCCGCACCGCGGCAACAGTTGTTCGTGGACGCTAGCTTTAGGATAGTGCAGGGCCACAGGTGAGGGCGGCGGAAATTCATCGAGGTGCGGTATGTATTTATTGTTGTCAGATATGGTCTGCTTGGCCCTAATGGTTATGGTAAGACCACGTTGTTGAGGCATATCCAGCACGGGGCCATACCGGTGTCGGAATCGTGGGATGTGTTCCTGGTCGAACAAGAGGCTCATGCTACAGACTCAAAGGTCATTGACGAGGTCCTTAGTGCTGATGCTACTACAGTGAAGTTGATGAAAGCGGAGGAGGATATAATGAAGCAGTTGGACGAGGCGGCTGATGACGAGGCTAAGGCCGCTGATACTGAGAACATCCTCAAACTACAGGATCAGCTCGAGGAGATCATTAAGGACCTCTCTGCTCGGGAGGCTGATAAGCAGGAGGCTAAGGTTAGGAAGATCCTGGCTGGTCTTGGATTCACCCCGGAGTAATAGCATCGAAGTCGTGGGTGTGTGCACTGTGTGGTCTTCAGAGACCAGGAGAAGCCAGTACGGCAGTTTTCGGGAGGTTGGCGTATGCGAGTATCACTAGCTAGGGCATTGTTCATGCAACCTAAGCTGCTGATGTTGGATGAACCTACCAACCATTTGGATCTGGACGCGGTCTTGTGGTGAGTTCCCTTGCGGCTAGTGTGCTTGGCTACATCACATGACTATGGGTGGAAAAATCAATGAAAAATTTATTCGGCGAATTCCTTCATCAACACGCGTGGTTGACTATGTGCGCATTTTCCTACGTTGTCGTATTTTAGGTTGGACCACTACTTAGCCGAAGAGTATCCCTTCACTGTCCTCGTTGTGAGTCACGATGCAGACTTCCTGGACAGCGTCTGTACTGATATCATCTCAGTGGAGAATAAGAAGTTGTTACAGTAGGATGGACCTCAAACTCTCCCTTCTAGTAGGACGTGGAATCCTCTGTAGATACCGTGGAGGCTATACTGATTTTCAAAGGATGCACGAACAGCAGTTTGCTAAGCAAACTAAGGAGTGGGATTTGCTCCAACGGCAGTTGAAGAACTGCAAGAGCAAGGCGGATCGCGAGGCTCTGTTGAAGAAGAACGCTCATATCACAAAGCCGGTCGAATACAGGGTTAAGTTTAACCTCAAGGGCCAGGGGCAAGATGATCGTCTCGGGGGGCTGGGGCTTCGGGATGTTTCCTTCTCCTACTCTGGGAAGACACCGTTCATCCTCAACCATGTCGAATTCGGTGTTGATTGCACCTCGAGAATCGCAGTAGTTGGTGCTAACGGCTCGGGCAAGTCCACTTTCCTCAAACTTCTCACTTCTGAGCTGGAGCCTACTGAGGGCGAGATCATGGCCAACCACGGCCTCAGGGTGGAGCTCTTCTCCCAGCATTTTGAGGAAAAGTTGGACCTTGCGCTCACTCCAGTAGAGCAAATACTGCAAGTCGGACGAGGCCTTCCTGGTGCAGAAGCAGTGAAGACCCCCGAAAAGGCCCGGCAGATCTTGGGTCGTTACGGCCTGCCGTCTGAGTCACACGTGAAACATATTGGTAATCTGTCTGGTGGGCAGAAGGCTCGTGTAGCGTTCGCCCTCCTGGGCCTGCGAGCGCCCCATCTTCTCATTCTCGATGAGCCTACGAACCATTTGGATATCGAGACCGTGGAGGCTCTCATTGACAGCTTGGAGGAATACGTACGTGGGAAGGTTGTTGTTGTTGGTACTGGTTGTTTTTCAGGATGGGGGCGTGGTCGTGGTTTCCCATGATGCCAGGCTGATCAAGAGTTTAGATTGCGAGATGTGGATTTGTTCTGATGGTACGGTATGGCGATTCGGGGGGAATTTCGACAAGTACCGAAATAGAGTATTGGCTGAAGTTGAGGCTCGCGAGAGGAGAGTTGAACAGCAGATGGAAGCGAATAGGAAGTCTAAGCTGGAGAGGCATGCGGCACGGTTGGGCCGGAAGAGGGCGGAAAGCGCTCATGTGGCCGCGGAGGCTCAGAAGAAGGCTGAGGCAGAGGCGGCTGCTGGTAGTAGTCAGCCGGCTAAGCTGGAGTTGACGGGGCCTAAGAACGGGAAGAAGGCAAAGCTGGGGATAGCTGCGATGATGGATGAGGCCCGCAAGAAGAGGAAGGAGGAGTCTAAGAAGAAAAGGATGCAGGAGCAGAAGGAAAAGGAGGAGGTAGTGAAGTGTGATAAGGACGGAGCGGTGTTGATTTCGATTCGAATTTACTAGGCTTGGACTGTCATTATTTTGATGGAATAATTGCATTCAGAAGTGTGGTAAAGGGAGAGATTTGTTTTTTTAGGAGGCTGCGTTGGCGACTAAAGCTGTAGTAGCTTCCGAGCCAATCGTGAGCAAGGCTGAGAAGAACCGGTCGAAGGAGGTTGAGTCTGTTAGTGAGGAGGTAGTAGGGGTAGTTGTTGTTGTTTTTGGGAGGATTTGAGGGAGTTATGGTAGGCTAGTGATGAGGTTGAGGAGAAAAAGCATCATCGTCATCATCATCACCATCATAAGGATGAGAAGGAAAAGAAGGAGAAGAAGAAGTCGAAAAAGGACAAGGAGGGTGATGATAAGGAGGAGAAAAGGAAGAAAAAGAAGGAGAAAAAAGAAAAGAAAAGTAAACGGAAGGAAAAGGAAGAGGAGGCTGTTGTGGTAAGTGTCTGGAATACCTTGTCACTTACGACTCATGGTGACGGCTTTTCAGGAGGAGGAAGAAGAGGAAGAGGAGGACAGCGACTTGGATTTAGCAATGTACGGTGCATCGAGAGGTAGTTCCTGCTGGGCCTACCATTCCTCTTTCAGGTTTGCTGGGGGTAAGGCTCGACAGCAAGCCGCCGCCGCCGCTGAGGCTGATGTTGAATCCTCGGATAGTGAGGAGGATAGTGATGATGATGATGATGAGGATGCCTTCCTTGCTCAGTACTGCCACCACCCTCTCATTCATCTATTGTGTGCTTACAGGTTCGCCAAGCAGAATAAGAAAAAGAAGGGCCGACGAGCTCCTACCCCACCTCCTCCTGAGTCTGATTCGGATGATGAAGAGGACGATGAAGAGGACGATGAAGAGGACGATGAAGATCCTTTTCTTGCCCAGTGAGGGTCTCAGTTGGCCCAGGATTGAACCGCGACCATTGTTACTTCAGATTCGCCAAGAAGAACAATAGTCGGGGAGGTCGAAAGGTTGCTACGGAGGAATCTGATGATGACGAGGACTCGGCCGCTGCCGTTGTTGAGTTCAAGCACGAAGAGGTTGTTGATGATAAGCCCAGCAAGGGCAAGTCGAAGGGGCGTAGGAGGCGATAAGCTCATGCGGCTTTCTTATATCCACTGACTGCTCTGCTACTAATGTATCCATCCATTGCTATTATATTCACGTCTGTTTCTCCGATGGACAGTAGGGAGTTGTGTTTAAGTCCAGTGAGAGGCTGGGGTAGGGCAGGAGCAGTTTGAGCTTACTGCTCAGATTTTGGTGCCTGAGCAGTAGGCTCAAAACTGTGACTCACAGTTAGGGTAGCCCTTTTCCGTGTCGTTTGGAATTGGAGTTTGTGAGCGTTGAGGAAATGCAAGAATAGCAAGATGGCGGTAGTCCGCCCTACTGCGACTAACACGTCTCCTCTTGCTCTTCGTAATGGGAGGAACCAAAAAGGATGATAACATCCGAGTGGCCATTCGCATGCGGCCCTTTAACGAGCGTGAGAAGGCTCTAGGGTCGACTCAGGCAGTAGTTGTCCAAGGGAACGCATGTACGACGCCTTTCCTGAGGCAACCACCAAACCCCAGAGGGGGGCTTATGGTTAGGTCAAGTCGTTGGGGAAGTTCCTAAGGAGAACAATAAGGCGACGGGAAGGGCCCCTGCAGCTGGCAAGACCTTCTTCTACGATTACGCTTATGACAGCACTGACAACGCCTCCTCGAAACCAGCTTCCAACGCATCGGTAAGTGCTGCTACTGGTGGAGTGTATATAGTCGAGTTTCAGCTGTATGATGATATAGGGAAGGTCATCCTCGACAACGCCATGGACGGCTACAATGGGTGTCTGTTCGCCTATGGGCAAACAGGCAGTGGGAAGAGTTATAGCATGTTGGGCGGCTCGGGAGATCCAGGTGAGGTTGGATGTACCGTCTGAGGAGGGCATGGTCGTAGTAGGGATGATACCAAGGCTGACCAATGCTCTATTTGCTAAAGTTAGCCATGCCGATCCTAAGTACCCGCAGACACACGTGTGGGTATCCTATTTGGAAATCTACAACGAGAAGTTGAGGGACCTCCTGGCAGCTGGTGATGATGATGGCAATGGTGAGGGGGCGTGCTTAGGGATCGGTAGTGACTCCCTTTTCTATAGAAGAGGGCCTGTCTGTGTACGACAAGGCGGGACAGGGCGTAATAATATCGGGGGCAGTTGAGGCTGCTGTGGAGTCCTTGAAGGACGTTAAAGGCCTGTTGGACTTTGGTAACGCTCGGAGGTAGTGTTGAATTAGTACCACACTTCCGTCACTTCGTCCTTTGTAAGGGCTGTGGGAGCCACTAACATGAATGCGGTCTCTTCTCGCTCGCATGCAGTGTTTACTCTAAGGGTTCAACGCGTGTGCTCTGATGGCGGTGGCGACCTTCACTCCAGGTGGGCAGTAGACCCCTAAGGTCTTTGTAGGGTCCCACCTTAGGATCAACCTAGTGGACTTGGCTGGTAGTGAGAGGCAGGCTAAGACACAGTCAGAAGGCAGTCGACTTAAGGAGGGTATTGCTATCAACCAATCCTTATCAACACTAGCACAAGTAAAATACCACTGGCCCATGTGGGCTTCCATATTGTGGTGACAGGTGATAGCCCGGCTGTCTGAAGGCAAGGGCAAGGGACATGTACCCTTCCGTAACTCCAAGCTTACCTTCCTTTTGAGGGACTCCCTCTCGGGCAATAGCAAGACCTTCATGGTAGGGCTGGGGACACAGGTGACACGTGTCACCACTTGGTCAGATCGCGGCAATCTCGCCATCAACATCGGAAATCTTCGAGACAGTGTCAACTCTACGTTTCGCTACTTCTGTTAAGAAGGTCCAAACCTCAGCGGTGCAGAACCAGGCCGCGGTAAGACCTGATGAGGCTGAGTGCTTTGAGGTATTGGTCATAGGCGGGTACTGTGGATGCTATGAAACATGCTATGGAGGCGCTGAAGAAACAGTTGGCTGCTAAGGGCGTTGATGACCCCGACAGGATAGCAAAGGAGAAGGAACAGAATGAGGAAATTAAGAAATTGAAGGTATGAGTGGTACGGGCTTTCCGAGGCTCATCAGTGTTAACAGGCTGAGCTGGAGGCTAACAAACAGGAGATATCGCTGATGCAGACAGACTTCCATGAACAGCTAAAGAAGAACAAACAGATGGCTAAGGAGAGGGAGGCTTACCTCAAGCAAAAGGGAATCAAACATGGGGTGAATGGAGGCTAACGGTGGTTGTATTGGTGATGGCTATTCTTGCAGGATGTGGTGGATAGGAAACACCCCTTCCTACTCAATGTTTCCTCGGACCCTCTCCTCAGTGGGAGTCTGGCCTGGTCCCTTCATGGTCATCATGAGTTCCTGGTCGGTAGTCATAAGCATAAATGCGCAGTAGGCTACCCGGGGGGGGGACGAGCGGAGGGTCAGTAGTGAGGTGTGGTAGGTTGTGGTGAGAGGCCTGGGCATTCCCAACGATGAGCCCCTGTGCAAGTTCGTATGTCCTGAGGAGGGTAAGGTAGGGATACAGATGCTGTCAGAGAAGGGCTCAGTACAGCTGAATGGTCATCGACTTAAGGCTGGGGAAAAGCAGAAGCTGTAGTACATCGTTGATGATGGAGGGTGGCCCTGATGATGGAAGTAGGCACCACATGGACAACATCCTTCTGGGCAAGGCCATTATGGTTCGACTGCACCTCCCTAACCATAAGGAGGATAAGGACCTCACATTCGAGCAGGCAATGGCTCAGGTTGAAGGACAGGTCCCGGCCGAACTTGAATTCTACTTTGCTAAGGCCAAGGAAAGGTAAGTCTTGAGGTAAGCCTCAACGTTGTGGTATTCCCTCCTCACAGATGGGGTAGTGCTAGCAAGCAATACAAGGCTGTTGTTGAGTATGCTCTGAAGGACCTGTGGCCGTTAGTCGACGAGGCCAATGCGATATCCGAAGACCTCTTCCCTGTTAGACCGTAAGGCCCACTATAGCTACCTGTTGTGAGGTGTACTGCAGATACAAGTACACCATTGAGATATTCGTTGACCATGTGCAGGCTGAGGGCCAACAGTCTGATTTCCATCCAGCTGATATCGTCAATGTTCGGATGTCCAGGTTGGAGAAACCCGACACCAAGAACTACAAATCTGTGTGTAAGTTCACGTTCGAGGAATCCTTCATGCCGCATACATTATTCACTTTTGTGATTTCCCAAGCGACCTCGGCATACAGTGGAGTTTCATCCGTCTTACGTGGCGTGTGAAAACCCCGATATTCGCGCCATGCAGTAGTCGTAAAATATCACGAGTAAAACTCCAGTATTGTCACTTTACGGTGAAGTGGAATGATCGAAGGCTCGTGTTAGGCACATGGTCTCTGGAGCAGCTGGAGGGGCGTGTCGAAGTGATGAGGGAGATATTCCACAAGTTCAACGAGTTGCCTCCCGAGAAGAGGGCCAAGAAATGTGGAATATCAGTACGTTACTCACCCCGACATCAACGATTAGCTTTCACTCTATAGCCACCAAGCAATGGAGGTCTCGTGGACTTATGCCTTCCGAAGGACAGAGACCCTTGGTTGCCTCATGGTATTGTGAAAACGACAGAAGTTCAAATTGTACATGACCAGCCTGCACCTGTAAGTTTGCTCATTCTCTCAAGCTCATTCTACCATTAGTACGTTCGAGCAAAGGCTACCGACTGGCGTGCTTGGCTGTGCTTTGGTGGCAGAAAGAAGTGAAGGCTTTAGCCTGGTTAGTATTCTAGGTGGTATTCCATGGAGATGTGCACATATATATATATACGTTGTCATCTACACAATGTTTTGTGTTGATGGTAAGTTGAATCTTTATAGTTGTTGGGGGAGTCAACATCAACACCATTTTGAAAAACTGCGACACTCATTTCAGTTCAATTTGGAAATAAGTGAATGAATTTCTAGAAATCAACCCTCAGAGATTCAGGCGAGCACACAACTGCACTCTAAAAACCAATTGTTATCGCGATTTGGCCAAACGGTGACTGTGTACGCAATACTAAGCAAGTACAGTAGAAACAACGTTGGAAAAATGAGCCTTAATCATGTTGGTAGTGTATCTCATCTAGACTCAACTTTTAACCTAGGGCAGATGTGCATAGCTTGCAATTCTTGGAACAACAATTTGCAAGCGAATGGCACACGTATGTTCACAATGTTCTCACTCACTATGAAAATAAGACAATCGGACAATAAGGCAAAACGACTCCACTCACTTGCACTCTCAGACAGAGAACCGCATCGTCGACAAACGTAAGCTGTGAAGACATCACTCGAAAGCATAAGACGTCCTAGCAATACATTGGAGGCGTCATTGGAAAGCTCAAAGGCGTTCTTAATCTTACTAAGTAATCTCTTTCCATTTCTCCCAGACGAAGACCACCATCCTTCACTCGGCCTTCGGTGGGTTGTCGAGTGAGCTGATTGACGAGACCAGTAGAGCGAGCATGGATTTTATCCATAACCTGAACTTGATCAATGAGCAACCAGATGTGAGCGGCCACCTACCATATGGTCCAGTTTCTGGCAATAGTGAATCCGTCCCACGAAGATGTAACACTCGAGAGCCTCTCCTGTGACGCCTGATATGATGTACTCCTTGACGCTGGGATGATGGAAACCGTGACAGATCAAATATTCAGTCATATGCTCTTTAGTCATAGTCCCACCAAATCCCGCACCATAAGACCGTTCACCGTCGAGATCGCCAGCTTCACCAGATACACACTCCCGAGAAAAGATTGTAAACACGAATTATTCCCAATTTTCTTACAGTCGTTCGACTGGGTAAACCATGAGGATCCATAATAAGATTCGGACACCATCCCTTCTCCCCGAAAGGCACGCCCTCCTGGTCCACAACACCCTTCTGACCTTCATACCGTACTTTGCGATATTAACCAGCTGGGCTGTTTGCCACAGGACATTGGGCATGTACTATGGTAGGCGAACAACGATGTAGAAAACGATCCAAAAACTGAGCATTTGACTACAGCACAGTTTTCGTTTCACACTAACGTCAGTTGCCAAACCATAAGTTTCTACAACAGCCTTCATCCCTCTACGGATCTCTTCCACTTCAAGATAGAGGCTCATAGGCACATCACCCAGCTGGTCCCTGTAGATGCCATAACCTGGACTTCCTTTACCATTGCTGGCATTATCTACAATTGCGGTATCACGTATCGTTCACTTCCTCGTATGCTCAGGTCTATGAGAAAATTCGCCATTTAGGCTGTTTGCTTATGAGTAACAGCTTGAGTCATCTGCCGTAATAACATGGTCAAAAGTAGATGCTTCTAATCTGCCCAACTGCGGTGATATTGATGTGTTTTCCACGAAAAATCAAGCGTCGTTTGACTTGAACGATTATGGGTGCGGAATAAATTCACAAACGATTATATTCTGATAATCGTTCATTCACGAAGTGCGTAATTTATCCCGTCATCGTCACAAGATTAGTATTTGATTACCCCGGGCAGCAGTGCGCATGTCGCTGATATTCTGCTTTGGCTGCATATCACTCTGTGGTTGTCGTGAGTGTGTGGTAAGTCATCTTCCTCCCACCCACGCTTTATCACCTCGCACAGGTACGGCCTTTGACCTTCTACCCTCCTCGACAAAGCGGCTATGGTGTTATTGCACCCAATGAAGGTAAAAGTCTCCTTTCCCTCTCTACAGTGGCAAATTAGAATATATCTCAGGAGCTCCGTTGAAATGCAAGAAAAAACGTTGGCGAAAAAACAACGACCCGTACGGTCCTACAAAACTGATCATAATGCTGCGAGATGATCGGAAAAAACTGTCCATTCGGGTAGCGCTACGGTTACCTATATTGGATTTGTTCTACCTCAAATATCCAGGTCTCGGACGTATTGTCCCTACACTGTGACGGAAAACTGTCCTGTGACCATGTGCTCTTTCCTGGTGATATCAACGGCTTCTATTTTAAACACTCAACCGAGGTCAACCCGGACCGCTGGACGATTATATTTTCGCATGGAAATTCAACAGGTTATCGTCGGTAATTAATTTCATACCACACCTTTGTTACATCGTAGATATTGGATACAGCTGGATCTCCTATTACTACCTCGCTCGTCACCTCAAAGTTGATCTAATTGCGTACGACTATCCTGGGTAAGATACCCTTTTTGCGCACAGCGAAGATTTTCATATCGTATCAGGTATGGTTTGAATGGTGGTAAACCTAGTGAGTCGAATACGTACACTACTATTCGGGCTGTGTAACGCGGCATACCAAATTTCTTCCAACTCGTAGACTCTATATCCTAGATACGACTTTGCAATATCTTCCATGGGCATCCCGCCCAGTAACATTATTCTCTACGGTCAGTCCATAGGCTCAGGGCCCGCCGTCGATCTGTACACTAAGGTAGCATCACAGTAACTATTCTCAGAAACTACATCTCACCGAATCAGGTTCATGTTGGTGGTCTTATCCTTCACAGTGCTATAGGTAGTGGTCTTCGAGTTTACAAGTCTTACGAGAGACCCCGACGGACCCCATGGTAGTGACAATGGGCATTCAACAAATCATCTCGGAGGCTCTTCCTAGGTTCGACCTCTACCGGAACGTCGAGAAGTTATCCGACTACTTCGCGGAGGCTGGTAAGAGCCCCCCGCCTATTTTTATCATTCATGGCACGGATGATGAGGAAGTAATAGTAGGGAGACCTTTTACACTCTCGAGTGATCTAGTAGGTTCCCTATGAGCATGGTATGTTATTGGCTGAGACCATCACAGGAGATAAGGATAGGAGATGTGCCCCTGGCACTACCGCGCTGTACCCACCTTGGTGGGTTAAAGGAGGCACCCATAATGATATCGAAACACGGTGAGACTGTGGGGGCGTTCCTGGTGAACGCTAATTCGGCTCAGTTTGATTTGTCCATGTATATACACCAAGTCCCGGGTTCGATCCTATCACATGTCATCGTTCGTTTAGGTATCGGGACCAATACTATAAGCGTTTAAAAGCCTACGTCCGCTACCTGAAGATGAGCCCTCGCCCCGACCTCAGCACTCTATTATCCTCCACGTAGATTTTCATACCACACCTCCGTCAACATGTCCATTTCATCAGGTTAGCGGTCCAAAGGCATTCTAGTTCTTCGTCGGAGGGTTCCGGCGTCCAGGCATGCGCCCAATAGCATTCTAACCCACCCCAGCTATTATTTTGATTATACTACACTGCCCGTCCATAGTCCTCTTCCTGACGTGAGTCTGCTGATCTCATCTTTCACTGCCTGTACCACGTTAATGCACATCATTCGTGTAGTATATATGATCATCATCCCGTTTACCCCATCTCCCTAGTGTTACGTTATCGAGCCCCTTGGGACAAAGGATCTCTCCAGTTGAGTTTAATAATGCAGTACTCCTCAGAGGCACCGACTGTCTTAGTGGATGCCAACGAAGAGCCCAACATTGAAGGTAATGGCGAGTGAGCTGGATGTGGGAGGCAGTGTTGGAGGAATATATGTTCGCTTTCCTCAGCTGCTGAACTCAGGCGTTTCTCACTAATTATCGAGGTTTGCATACGAACCCGGCAAAGATGTGCAGCAGTCAATGAGAGTCTCCATAAATTTTCTCACAATTTTTATATGTGCATATTTTTTCACACTGCCAGAAGGTGTCAGTTCAGATGATGAGAATCCTCTATCGTGTTCGCCGCAAGAGGTCGCACTTCGACAGGCCCAGGAAGATCGTTTGCCCACCCTCCTCTCCGAAGACTCTCCTATATTCGACCCTAGTAAAAGGGCCGGGGGTCGGGTTCCATTATCAGTCTGCAAGGGGCTCACGTTTGTCGAGGTAGCAATAGTGTGGTATCCATAGGATAATTATTTGCCCTCAGACACCGACCGAGACTAGTGAGGAGTCCGCCGATGAGGGCGTCTTGGAGCCTTCGGGGGTAGGTCGGGGGAAGGGGGAAATTGTATATATTTTTTCTGGCAGCGTGTCGGACCAATATCGCCTACGCCTTCTGAAATAGCGAGGAAATCCGGACTAAGACACCTGGCTGAAGAGTTCATCCCCCTTCGAGTTCCCAGCACTCAGTGCTTCTGGCAAGCCCAACAGCGCTACAACGTCATGGGGACCACGATGGTTCGACAGAGGAGACCGGAGGAAGCGGGTAAGGACCACCAGGAACTAAAGCAAGAGTATGAACGAGAGAAAGCACTAAGACGCCTCCAGAGGGACCAGCTCAAGGCCTTCCCAGAAAATGGTGGCGGTCAGCTATACGGCTTGTCCCCATTACCGCAGCCGTTTGCCTTGCCCGAGGTGATGACCAAGAAGCCTAGCTACCATCAGCTGCAGCCTCCACCGGCACCTCCCTCCCCACCGGCGTGCTTTAATACATACCGTATGGAGATTCCTCCCGCTATACTATTCTCGTCACCCTTCACGGGCGGCGGACACTACCCACAGGGGCCCAGCGGGTACTCTGTACCACCTGGTATCAACCCTATGAGGCACCACGTACCACAACCGACACATTACCACAACCCTAATATGCATCCCGGCCCACGACTACCGCCTATGGGGGAGGGGTATCGTCCTCATCAGTGGGAAGTGCCCATGGACAGAATGCCTGTTGACCAGGTGGCAAGGCAAGCCATGGCGCACTATCATCATCAGTACCAGCCCATGCCCATCGAGCCCTATCCTGGACCCTACCCGCAACAACGTTATATAAGACAACACTATCCTCATCATGGAAGGATGATGCCGATGAGACCTGTAGGGTATCCACAACAGGGACCAGCACAGCCAATGCCGGCTAACTGGAGTGCCGTACCACACAGTCAACCGCTGAATTCCAACGCCCCGCCCTTTGTACAGACCTCGCGCTACCACCCACCACCTCCCACTTCGTACCACGAGGGCCCACTGCCCCCGCCCCCTGGGATCATCCTGCCACCGCAACCCCCTCCGGTCCCTCCTGTGGCACCACCAGTACGGAAACCAGGACCTGCTGGGCCACAGGAGCCCGACAGTGGTCTGGGTATCCTCTGGGAAGAACGCCAACGTACTCCTCCATCCCCCATGGGTCGAGTTATCTACCTTGACGTTACCGGTCGTAAGAGGCTGGATGAAGAGGACAAGTATAGTGACGGCAGGCCCAAGCATCACAGCCAGAGAGGTTTCTTCTGCCCACTTCGGGAGCACCTCTCGATAACGCGAGTGCCCAGTCTCGTTGATCCCCAACCATTGAAGAGGGACGGTGTCGGGTCCCTGGGGTGTTTGCCTAAGGTGGCCTCGCCTGTGTGGCAGTCGGTAAGACTCCTTGGCGAGCCGACGACGGCTACCATACCGCTGGACGAAGTTTTGATCGCCCCATTAGAGCCTCTGATGCCGCCCGAGATGTTCGATGAGAAGAAGGAGAAGTCGGAGCTCTATCTGTCATCGATACGTTCCAAAGGGCGATACCGTAAGTACCTGTTAGCTCGTGAGTCCCCATACTAATTAGTGCTCGCTGTGTACGAGGCATGCCACATGGTATGACCATCGCCGGCTTCATCAGTGCTCCATGAAGTTGTCGTGTTACGGTACGGTTTAATCTCGTTATTGGCTCCTACAGACGCCCACAGTTATCTTGCAGTTATATCAGCTGTTCACAGTGTTAGCTTGCGGAGTAATGGCCTCGACGGAGTAAGCCTTTTCTGACCAAGTGCTGTTACCCCGCTCTATGCAGCGCTCTCCCCAGTGAAGAGTATTCAAAGCGATCATAACGCCCTCGAATATCGTGGTCAGTTAATTCGAGATGGACCCTTCGAGAGGAAGGGGTTTCTTGCCCTCCTGTATTCAGAGGCGTCGTTCCTTGGGAAGAACTGATCGGGTTGCCACCGTTAGGGCTCGTCCTCTTCTAGTTAGACCCTAAAGATACAACTATGCGGGGAGTAGCAGCAATATGCGCCATCGGTGGTAACTCGAGACACTTGGTGAAGTCGAGGCCGACCTTCCCACCACATCCACATGTGCTCTGCCCAACACCATTACTCATCCCGGCTGAGCATATCTGATTAGGTTCCGTCAGTTCAGTCACCATTGTTGTGGCAGTTAGATGTCGTTGCCTTTGCTACTCGGGGCGAGGCTGCGTAGGCCCTTCTCCATTGTAATTGTCGGAGCTCAGCCCTTCTTTATGATGAAGTGGTGTTATCCTTTTTCATACGACCTCACTATATGCTCTTGCTTACCGTGTTGCTTACGTTATGCTCTTCCGACTACTGCTTGCCCGATTTGATACGCCCCATCCTAGTATACGAGGGCTCAACCCAATCACGTGTTCCATCTATACAGAATATTTTTAAAGCCTCTTTGTTGGCTATTCCTCCTCGGGATCATCGAGCGTCCTTGCGTTCATTCGTTATGGCGAACAATGCCAGGAACGTCATGTCTCCACAAAGTCAGTGGAGGATACTCATCTGCTATTCACCCGTCTAACAAGTGTAGTACTTCCGCACTGTTGGGTTCGGCCTTCTTGTGACACTTCGTCCACCTCACTATATTCAGCACTATTCCTTGCGAGCTAGTGATGGGCACTCCGACTGTGCCAATGAATCCTCAGCTCGAGCAGATCCTCTCCCGCCCTGAAAACGCGGTCTGTGCAGACTGTAATGCCCCAAACCCCCGATGGGCATCAGTCAATATAGGCGTCTTCATCTGTAAGATTCTCGACACGCTAGACCCTCCCCTCAACGTCCCCAGCCAGGTACCAACTGTGCCGGTATCCATCGTGGCATTGGTACTCATATTACGTTTGTCCAGTCGGCAACAATAGACGAGTGGAAGCCCGAGTGGGTTGCCTTAGCTGATGCTGTTGGCAATAAGGTTGGTAATGAATACTACGAGTAAGTCCAACAGCACATACCACTCCTTGGTCACTTCGCGGCATCTCAGATACAACGTTCCACCACATATTCATAAGCCCGACGGAAGGACTTTCCCGAATGGTGGTGGTGATAGGTTAGACCCAGACGTGTCCCAACATCTACAACGGTGGATTCGGAATAAATATGAGCTCAAACTTTTTGCAAACTACTCTGCCAAGGAGCCCTGCGTAGGCCCTCCGTATTGTGATTGCTTCCGAGGTCTTATTTTTCCTTGCCCGACAGGTAGCCTTTGCAGATGGTGAACTTATCGCCCATCTGGGTCCCTCTGTGCCGAGTAAAGCCAGCGCTACCACAACACCGGTCGCCGCTGTGCTGTCTGGGGGTTGTTTAACTTCGCCAGAAAAAGTATCAAATAAGAAAAAACGGTCCAAGAAGAAGCAGTGGAGCGAAACGACGTCTGGAGGAGCTTCTCAGTTGTCCTGGAGAGAGCCGGCCTCCTATGTGGACGTGTCCAACCTCGACCCCCGGTGCCTCAGGCTCGCCCCTTCCCAACAGGGCTGGCAGAATAATTTTTTCATAAGCTCGTGGATCAGTGATGTCTCGACTGGACATGACCACAGTCGGGCTACCGTTTAGTGTCACTATGCAACGAGGAGAGGGAGGGGACCGTATAGATGAGAATTGCCATAGTTGACTTTGTTGTTGTTGTTGAACCATTGTACTTAGTCGTATTTATGTCAACCATGAATTAGCCCTGTATCATATTCCCTGTTAATATTCCAATTTCGCTGCGAACTCATCGAGAATTGTGGTGTTCGACAACTTCCGAGAAGATCACAGCTGTTGTCTGAAACTCGTGTAGAAGAATCTTGTCAATGCTATAGACATGCCTTGGGTCGGAGTAACATTACCGCATCAAATCTTTGCAACGCACGCTTAGTTGCACGATGCATGCCGTTGCAAGAGGATCAACTCACCCACGGTGACGGTGTTGGAGTAAATGTTCACTCCCATCAGCTGCGGTTCAGGAGTTTCTCCAATATGTTATGGAAGTTTACAGTGTGAGTGGAATGGTATAGAAACCAATAAGAATTTTTCAGAACCCTCATATTGTCACTCACACTCGTACTTTGACCACGTGCATATTCCCCCACATTGCACGGGGATTGTCCTCACAGACCTTTTACTGGTGCATTACAGTGCCACTTCCATACAGGGAAATGGCCAACAGCAATGGGACAGATAGGTGTACAGAAGTGGACAGTGTGTCCTTGCCAGATCCCAATCGGGACGCTATGATGTTTTCAACCCTGTACTGTATAACTTATACAGTATAAGCGGCCACTCTTGTACAGTATAAGAGTGGCCGCCAGGAATCCCGAATGGCCACGTCATTCCTGCCGAGTCAAGCTGTTGGAAACTTAAAAGCTAGAGGTTTATGCTTCTCCTCGGGTGCAATCGAAAGTCGTATAATGCAACTATGTATGAAAATTTTCAGAGTGTTCGATTGACGCTGATACTGATGCGTGATATGCTCAGATGTAGCGCAAGATGTAGCGCATAACTCTTTGACTAAGTGTTTGTATTGGATCGCCCTGGCTCAAACCAATGTGAGAGCCAACGGATACAATGAGTGCGACGATGTCTTCAATCACTGACAACTCGGAACGGCGGAGTAGTGAAACTTACAACAATAACAGTCGGTAAAATCATACAGTAATGCAACAGCAAAGTATCGATAAGGTCACCACCTCAGCCACCTATCTTCATCATGTTGCGTAGTTCGCTAGCTTTCTCACCCAACTCGTACATATCCGCCCGACCGCCCAGCGCCCAAGCCTTGCGTCCCAGAGACTCCTCAAGAAGGGGTCGGAGTGGCCTCCCCTCCCTAATGGCGTCCCGTAAGGACACACCCGAGTCGGCCGAAGCGAATAAGCAATTATACAGCAGTCCGTCCGCGGAGACCCTTATACGGTTGCAGCCGCCACAGAACTGATCAGTCATCGAGCTGATGACACCAAAGGTACTCTTATGGCCTTTCACTCGGTACTCTCTCCCCACTGTCGAGTGCGGGTCCACTTCATCTACCACGGTGATGTTATCAACACCAAAAGCATCGTAGATCCGATTCAATATTTCCTCCTTGGGTAACAGGAGTTTGCCAGAACCCCAGTTATTGCCAGCAAAAGGCATGTATTCAATGAATCGGACATCAAGATTTCCATCTCGAGTAAGATGAACAAAATCGAGAATTTCATCATCGTTAACCCCCCGCATCACCACACAGTTCACCTTCAAGCGGAAATCTTCATCGTCCTTAAGCCTATCGATGAGCTTTCGAGTTCGATTCCAATACGTGTCGGGGCGGTTTGAAATCATCGGAAATTTTTCAGCAATGAGAGTGTCCAAAGATACGTTTACATGGGAAAGTCCGGTAGCTTTCATAACGGGAAGATAGCGTTCGAGAAGCACACCATTCGTAGTGATACCGAACCGATCGAGACGCTCCCCGCAACTCTCAGCTATGCCCTGTATGATTTGGGGGAAGTCGGATCGGACCTGAATCCAACTACGGCAATACCGTAAAGACCCGAAGTTCCTCTAGAAAACACCAAGTCGTAGTCCTCTCGAGTAAAGCTCATGGACCCAACAATACTAAAAACCCAAAGCTGCTCAGATGTTCCCAATACTACCGTCGGTTCACCACCAGTCAAACGTATCTTATCCACCCCAAGATCGTTCACGAGAGTCGACGCTAATGTGACTATCTCCTCTACAGTGAGATAGTCTGCTGACGGCGGCCTGATACCAGTACACATTTGAATCTAGAAGCCATCCCAGTCCACATTTTGAGTACCTTATTTCTTCATCATGTTCCCCGTAAATCCCCGGTGGCATGCAGTATTGACATCGCATATTGCATTTATCAGTCAAAGAGAGCCGCAAGTACGTGTGCCGACGCCCGAAAGTGTCGCTGACCGCCTTCTCCAGTCGTTGACTTACATCAGTGGATACCCCTCTGGTCGCCATGGCACTGTAGCTACCATAGAGCCTACCACTCCGACTGAACCAAGACCGTCCTGCCCACATGGGAGAGGGACAAACCCTACATCGGGCGAAATACACACATAATCAGCCACACGTAATCCCGACACAGAAAAAATGGAATCTCAGGAGATTTTTCCTCATCCTGGCGCACTCTAGTCGTGTGCCTTAATCCTATGAAACGGTAACGGAACCCCTGCGTTCAGCTGAGGAAAGAAACCAACATATACCCCGACACACTACCCTAGATATACCGAGAGCTTGCATTGGGCACTGTCGCCTGACCGCGTACTCCACAACGCAAATCGAACAGATGGAAGAAAGCTGGCCCAATGTAGCAGAGGTTATCACAGGCGCAGAAGGATAGTAATAGCAATATTAGGCAACGACAGAGGTACGACCCGGGCCTCAGGTAATGAAGTTGGGATCGTTAGGTTCTGCATCTACTGGCAGCTCGGCGAACGCAAGTAGTAGGTCGTCTCTAACTGCTAGTGCGACAAGAGGCTCTGACGACCGCACCTAGATCGAAGACATGATCTCTCCACAACTAGTGAATCGACACATTACCGCGACTCTGGCCTTCCCTGCATGCTGTGGCCCTGTACCAACTTCAATTCGAACCAGGACCTACGGGGGCGCTAATGAACGTCAATCACAAATTCAAATCACTACCGTAGCATTGGGCAGAGTGAAACACTGTATGCCTTCTGGACTGTCCGCCGGGAACTTACCACATAAAACTAGATTGTTGGGATTTGCATCTAGTTGTGAATGTAGCCGAAGAACCTACTCATGATGCAGGTCCATACTCCCAACCACTGCCGTCCTTATTACCCCTCCCAAAGTTGCCGATCGGGCGAGCGCTAAAAGACTATCTCGACAATCGTACGATGTTGTGATGCTCACTACGGCGGACTGCTCAGACAAGTGATATCTGATAGAAAACGGTGTCGATTAAGGCAAAGTGGAGGAGGGTCCTCACATATGGTGTCGCCACATACTAAAGAAATCAGCAGCATTTGGTATGTCTACTGGTGCCATAAACTTGGACAGAAGAATAGGCAACCGTAAGGACAGCGTTCGCGGGGTATTGTCGAACAGCAAAAAACGCATCTGAAGGAGAGAGACTATGATAGAATATAGTGGTACTAGAGTTAACACTGGGTGGTCGTAGCAGTAGTAGTAGCGTGCAAAGTAATACATCCATAGAAAAGGGTGTAAGACGTGTTTCAGGTGGCACTGACCCAGAGTCTATATGAACACGATTGAGCTTTTTCTGACCCTAGTCATGGATATCAGGACTCTGGAGTGCCCTAACGCCGTTCACTCCCTAGTACTAGTGACTTTACCACTATCTCTCGGGGCACGACCATATTACACTCATCATTGGGATCTGCTGAGTCGGCTTAGTACATACCACCTTCACCACTAATCGTATCTGCTGTCACTTCCACTCAGGGCGGCCCTCATTCACCAGCTGCTTCTACCTGCTGCTTAGCCCGGATAGCCGTGGGCACCGCTTCAGTAGGTGTAAGGGTAATATCGTCCCCTGATATCAACTCCACGGTAAAACCATCCAACGCCCCCGAACCTAACAGGACAAGAACTGGCCGCGAGCCTGGTGTACACGGTAGTACTCTTATTGCCAAAATAAAGGCTCACTTGCCCTTCCCCCATGCCGCACGAATACGAAGACTGCGAGCCGATCTGAAGGCACACGGTCGCCCCAGACTTCTACGACCAATGTCTCCACCTGTAATATCTCATCTTCATACAGTACTCCTTCCTGCGCCCCAATGAGAGCTCTGAAGCGCTCCACAGTGGCAGGGGCGCCCACATGATGAGGTAGAAGGGCCCCAGCGCTGACACCTCCCGAAGGGGCCAACCTTGTCGTCGTTCCCCAGTTAGTCGTCTTAGGGGGCGACCCAGATGTGCCTAGACATACAGTAGAGGAATCCATGTACAGTTGCTTCCACTACTCAATCGGCCAGTCTGGGTCGGCGTGAAGGCAGTAGTAGCCGTAGTTGGAGGCCTCCTCATGAGCCCATCAGTCTGAGGAGCCACCATCTCCTCCAAACTGGACGCCATAGCCGCTGGTGTCCTCGAGGTCGTCATAGGCACCCGCGAGTCGCCAAAGTAACTGCCAATGACCTTTTCCCCACCCCATGCCCTTCCCCATAGACTATAACCTCTCATTCATCTGTCCAAAGGTGTTCTCAGCCGCCCTAGCCCGGGCCGCTACCTCCACCTCAGAGCCCTCGAAGAGTTGCTTCAGTTGAGCATTCTCCCGTCGCAGCGCCTGACCACCCAATCCGACTCGACTGATGGTAATGCAGCAAAGTACCTCATTGGTTGCTGCCATCTCTGCTAGCCTCCGTGAGTCCTCAGCTATTTGATCATCCCTCGTATTGAGTTCATCCTGGAGCTTCGACGCCCGTGTAGACTCCTAACAAGCCCAACCAGCGCCGTTACAACCAGTGTTGCGGGAATATGTTCGCTTTCCTCTGGGATTTCACTCATAGAAGTTCACACCCATATCGGGGTAGAAGTTTACGGAAACCAATGAGAATTTTCCAGAATTTCCTCAGAATGTGGTGAACCATGTGCATATTTTCTCACACAGAATTCCAGCACTCGTCCATTTTGTATCTCCCCTCCCCAGTACCTTCATCCACATTTCTTTAGCATTACTCAGATCCGTCGTCAAAGATCTATTCTGACTCTTTAAGCTGTTCACTTCTCCCTAACACCAATACCACTCCAGCGACTCAAACGTGAAATAGCGTTCGAACCTCCAGCTTAGCCACTTGCTTCATAGTTTCATCGAGTTGATTCCTGGCCTCGGTCAACTGGTGCATAGACGACTCATGCGCCGACACTACGATAAGTATTCGATTGAGAAGAAAAAGAAGCCGATCGTGCTACCCGAGTCCTGAAGCTGTTTTTTGAGGTCCTCAATTTCAGCCTTGGCGTCACTGAGCTCAATACTCGCTAAACGCCTTTCTACTGCCAGCTGGTCCACGTCCGAGGATACCCCAGCAGTCTTCTCTACCACAACTTTATCAACTACTGCGATTTTTCACTTCCCATTTGTTACCGTTCCCGCCGGTCGTGTTGCCAGGCTGAGGTTCTGCAGCGGTTTTTGGAGAACCAGAGGGCACGTCCTCCAGCTGAGCTTTGTCCGCGAATACACCAAACATGCCGTTATCTGACAAGTTCAGTCCCATTAACAACCTCACGTTGATGATGTATTACGAATGGGAGCCTCGGGACTAGCCAGTTGCTCCTTCAGCGACTTCAATAACCTGTAGGAGATAACCACAGGACCTTATAATAGTCGACTCCTACTCTTTGGGATCTGTCTGGCCATCACCCAGAATATCGAAGTCAATATAAATACAGTCCGCAGCCCTCTCGCTGCCTGGAGCCCCTGTAGTGGTAGGAGCGTTTGCTGTCGTTGGAAAACTACTGCCTGGCACTGCACCGAACCCAGATACCTATGGGGCTGGGTTAGTCCGGATTGAACTAGACACGACCTTCAAGTTGACTCGATAGTGCTACATTAGTGCCGCTTCCCCTGTGTGTGGGATCAAAATTTGTATCAAAAGGTGATTGAGTGGAGCCTCCCGGTCGTGGTGCTGAAGCGGGTGCGGGGTCGAAGGTGAAGGCCGAGTCCCCGAATCCGTTCACCGCGGGGACGCTACTAGCCATTACAGTAAAAAACTTCTGAAACAACACGAGGCCTTGGCATGCCTTAACCAGTAGTCACGTTGGTGGAGCTGCACGAATGTTCCAACCCTCACTGTAGCGAGCTCGAGTTGTCTGTTTGGATACTGCGGCAGTGGGTGAATCACGCCTCTAGAGGAATCCACTGGTGAGTTACATAGACAGGGTCCTGGCCAGAGCCGAGCTGAAGAGAGCGAGCGAATAAGGATTACCACTCCATTAACGAAAGACCGTCAGGTGTGTACCGGAAACTTTCATATTGTACCCACTTAACGACAATACGGGAAAGCGAAGCGAATCTGGCAAGTTCTTACATCTTTCATCAGCGCGTATTCAGTTGGAATGCGCCCGGAATCTTGCCGTATCTTACGGTTTCAGCCGTTGGTCGATTGGTCGCACTCCATTTCGACAACAGTCAAATACGACAATGTGCTGTCGAAAATAAGCTGTCCTAATTAATTGGCGAAAACGCATACGTTGTCGGATTCGACAAGTGCTCAGTAGGTGTCGAGATGGACAACTGCTATCACTTTCGACAATCGAGATGTTGTCTAAATTGATTGCGCGCGCCATAGTGTTGTGTGCTGTCTAAACTTGTCGTAAACGAGAATGTAACTCCCCGAAATCGACAACTCTGTTGATAGTTTGGTTCCTGAAGGCGAATGGAACATAGACACCGGTTTTGTGGAGGTTCGATAGTCTAACTCGAGGGAGTCACTGCTAGGAAGTACATGACCAAGGTTCGATTCGCACAGATGTTATGTTCTGAGGCGCGAGTCGGTGTTTGCGAAACATGTCGTAGCGGTGTATTTAAACTTCCAATTTTGAGGAACAATTCATGTCGATATGATACAGCGGGCTGAAAGTTTTGTGTACAATACGAATGTTGAACAGTCAAATCACTTCAGGGTTTTGTAATACCGACACGGCATTATCAGGTTATGCGTTTCCGGAGAATATTTCCTCAGTGAATCGTTTATCGAACTCACGCGATCATTTATCGTTCGCATCCCACTATTCATCTCCCATCTGGAGAACTTGGTGTTTCTCTCTCTCACCCCAGTTGTCAAGGCATAGAACACAATACCTCACGGATCAATGATTGACTAACATCATATTAATATGCTACATGATGAATTAAAACCCTCTATTGAAACCTCCAAAGAAAGGAACAGGAAAGGAAAGGCGCGTTTCGCTTGACATTTATCGTATCACTAACATGGCAATGTCAACTAGCAAAAAAACTGAATATCCCCAGGATATCATGGAGAGAAAACCCCCATAACCACCATATTCTTTTCTTAATTGCAAAGAGATGAAAATGAATCTCTACATTTCAGAGTTACGAATCGAGTCTCCTTCACCACACGTTTCAGATGATTTCGGTTATGTGATTCTGAAAAAACATTCCCCGAAAAGAACATCGCGAAGTCCACAAAATAACTTGATGTCTGTTCTCTGTCTGAAGATCTTCACTATTGTGAGCTTATACTATGCCGTCTCGAAATTCTAGTTTAGTCGGGTTTGTTTAAATAAGCCACTACCACTTCCCGCTGTACCTAAGGAAATATCTCCGTCCGAAATATGTACATAGTCAACTGCACTTGTTGATGACGACTTGAAAATTGTGGGAAAACTAACGTGCACTCCTACTCTGAGTCGTGTTTGAGTTGTCATGAGTGAGAAACCTCGTTGAGAAAACCAATCATACGAATACATTGATACCCCCTCTCCAACCGACCTACCCGTAGCGACTTCCGTACAATTGAGTTGACCACGAAGATGGCCAAGAAAAGAATGCTAACATAATTTCATACGATTATGCCTCAACATAACAAGATTTGACACTACAGTAACGAACATCATGGATCATGGGGCAGCTTTTTTGGAGTGGAAACTGAATAATACACGTTAGACACGGTAGATTATATGAGCCATTGGTGAACCGTTTATCGACTATAACCAGCCGAACAGAAAAGGGGAGAAAGAGGGACGCTCTAAGGCCCTTAGACTAACAGTCTACGTCTACCAGTCTACGGCAGTACCCTTAGACCAAGGGTACTGCCGTAGACTGTTGCCTCCTAATCCCACCGATGTGGGGGATGTCGTGGAGCGGGCTACTGCAACCCGTGACCATCAAACACCAGTTACCAATTTGCTCATCCTCAGTTTGATGATCAAACTTTGATCAAGTCGGGTACGAGTCGTGCCGTACGACTATTGCCAAGTTCTATAATCGCCACTCAGTGAGAATCGCCGATCCCAAAATACAGGACATCGACTATCGCTGTGCTGTCACAGCACAGCTTTGGTACCCCCATCCCCCCCAAAAAAATCTTGAAATCCACACTGAGGGTCCGAAGCATGCCATCTTCGCGTGAGAGCAAAATCGATTGTCAAGGCAAGCGAGAAAGCTACTGGAGCCGTTTTTGGCTCCGCTCGAATTTAGCCAAACCCGATTTTAACCAACTAAAAACCGCGCGCCATTTTAATCTATTAATATATATTAGCATTATTTTACCCAATCGCTTGGGGAACGTTGAGGCAATAACAGGTCGCCATGGAGAACACTTAAAAAGTTCTTGTTATGTAGAGTGTATGGTTCAGTGGTTAAGTTTCGTGTTTGTAAGTGCAACGGTATAGGGTTCGAACCAAGGCAATATACTTTTTAATAAAAAGTATATTGCCTTGGTTCGATAAAAATAAATAAACTGCCTTAATAAAAAGTTTTTATTATTTCAGAGCTTAAATTGGGCTTTCCAGCCGCTCGAAGCATTGAATCGTTTCAAACTAGATAACTACGTAAATGAATAATGAAATACTAGTCCACTCCTGCTGCAGGAGTCCTGCACCTATATTACAGCAATAATCTACTAGTTGGCAATTGGCAACTGCCCGGTAAGTCCGTCGCGCTAGCAATTCCCAAGATTATTCGCGTGTCTACTTCCAATAATTTTCGCTAGAGATTTGTGTGATGTGAACTTCACATTGTGAAGTAGGCGCATTGTCCCAGCGACGGTCGCTGAGGGACCTACCCGCGTTGTACGACACTGTCGTTACTGTCGTAGCGACAGTATTATGATAATGTGAACGTGTTGCGCGGTAGCGCGGGTTCGATACTGTGCGGATGTGACGCCGGGCGTGCGCTTATGCCCTGGTTGTCTCCTTTTTACGTGTTGTTATTCCAATTGTTTCGGAGTCTTACGGTCGTATCTCGACCTGTATTCCGATAGGCAGTTGATTCTGCAGGATCACTGTCAGATTGGATAGGGACTTCATATGGTGGGTATGAAGGTTATCCGTATCTCTAGCAGTCATACGGTTATACATTGGTACTGGGATGTATTACTAGTTGTATCGATTCCCTTAGACTGTTAGTACGCTATGGTAGCTATATATCGGTTAATGGGCACGGTTTGAGTTATTAGTCCTTATGGGATGACTTATCTGGGTGTGAATAGATCTCTACTGTGCTGCTATAGCATGGTTTGAGAGCTTATCACTGGTACCGTGGTAATCGCGTTTGTCGTTCTATTCGCACTGATTTGAGAGTTCACCGCGTCGTGTCGCTTGCGATAAGTCCGTTACGGTCCACTTGTCTCTAAGCAAGTCACACGCCCGTTGTACACGCGCAGTGTATTGTTAATAGCGCATTATTAATAAGTTATTAATTGACACTGTAAAAACGCGACTCGTTCAAGAAGATAAAAATGACATTTGCGATTGATCTCAGATGATACAGTATGCGGACTCCTAACTAAAGATCTCAGTCTCACTACCAGTCTCTAACAAGACCACTTAACACATAGTCGGGGATAACTAATTAAGCTTGTGAGCTAGTTCGTAGGTAAAAAAACAAAGAAAAAGCCCACTACGCAGGGGAAACATCGTTCGCTCATTTGCAAATACAGAAGAAACAGTTTAAAAAACAACAAGTTACCGCATATGCAAGAAACATCAAGAGTCCTAACGAGAAAGAATAACATAGAATCGAACCAGCGACCTTCGGATCAGAATACTTAACTTATTCCCAACTTAGCTACCAATCATATGCAAGTATTTCTTCCAGGATTGTGTTTTCGAGTTAGAAATGAACATTAGCAATATTTTGGAAAAAATCGTGACAAAAATATAAATTCCGATTTGGTTTAAACATTACCCTTTTTATCGATTATATTGGCGCGCGGTTTTGTATTGGTTAAATTCGGGTTTGGTAAAATACAGGCGTTACGCCGTTTTTTAGTCAACTGCTGGCTTTTTAGGATTCACCGGAAACTAGCGTATCATCGACAACTTGTCGAAATTGAGATCATTCGTTATTTCGACACTTAGTTGTCGTTATTAAGCTCATTTATCGGATTCGACAATGATTGTCGTAATTAAGTTGTCCATATTCACACATAGTAAGGTGTAACATACTTTCGACAACGTTGCCGAAAAAACGAGTATATTCGACAACTTCTGACCGTTCAAATTTCGACAGTAAGTGTCGAAAGTCGCATATGTCGCTGCACAGCGGCAGTTTAGACAGCTTGTCGTTTTTATTAGCTAAAGTTGTTTTCGACAGGTTGTCGAGGTTGTCGAAAACGGACGCTCCGGGTCGATTCTGCGAACGACTAGAAATTGTCGACAACGGAGGAATCGCCACTCGCCCGGGATTTGATGACCTGACTTCTATCAAGGCCAGTTACCTTGATCTGCAGCCGCTGACAAATTATCTCTTGTCGTCTCGACTATCTGCTGCTCCCTAGTTATCGTATTGACTTATCTTGTCCCGCTGAGCAAGTGATAAGGGACTAGACCTGCTCATGTTGACGGTCCGGCTCAGAACTCTGTAAGATCGATTATAAAGGCGAGCGCGCAATCAGCGCAGGATGCCACAAAAGTCTCAATTCTCCTGAGTCCACCGTCTCTCGAGCTCGTATCCTGCCATTTCAGTTCTTCAGAACGTTTTCCCTCCCGTGTTAGTCGCCTCCTGCGTCCCATAACTCTTTTGTGCATTCATCATGGATATAACAGTGACCGATGCAACCAACGTACCCGGTATGTCGTGACGGCTGCCTCTTCACAGAAGCAGTTTGCCCCTTTCAGATAAAGCCTACTTGTCTATCAGAGTTGGCGAGACCAGACGTCAAGCTCCTCTGCGCTTAAACGAGCCTTTGCGCTTTCCTTCGGACTCCCAAGAATCCTGTAAAGTCGACCTCTTCACTCAGGTCAGTCCAGCCCTCTCCCTCACACTCTTGTAACGGTTCTGGTCAGGTCGGCAGCAGTCAAGTATCCCTTCATCAGTTCCGAGAGGTTGGTGAACAGAAACAGTCGGTGATCCTCCATAACTTGGCTGGAGGACCTACCGTTGAGTTGTCTCTCTCGTTTAACCACACTGACCCTCAAGCCAAACAAAAGTAAGACGCTGGTCGGATCGATCTTGTTAACAGAGATCACCGAAAAATGGTGGCTTCGTTCCTGTCCCATCAGCCCCATTGTTCGTGTGTTGCATACGTTCTTCATCTGCATTCACTCCGAATACGCATTTGCGGTCTTTCGTATATTTCCAGCAGAGTGTTTCGCCATATTGTACATAGCGAGATCTCCTTGCATAGTATTTCCTACATTTTCCTCCCATTTATCAATCTCCTTACTCACTGCGGACTATTATCAGCTAAGCTGCGAGTGATGCTAGATACAGATCGCATAGTCCTTCCACGGACTCGCACAGTGACGTGTGTCGATCCCTCTCAGGAAATCCCAGCGCCAAACTCGACATCAAGCCGCTCTGAACGCGAAGAAGTATCTCGACGACTTCCAAGTTCAGCAGTTCCTACAAGGGATGGTCCAGCAGCTTCTCACTGAAAGGCCATCAAATCCTCTCACATTCATGGCAACATATATTGATAAGAGAAGTGAGTTGAATCTGATGCCTCCTCCTGATTGCCAACGACGGAGTTCGCTCGTGAAGAGTTGTCGTCTTCTACGGCATGCTCGACTGAGGGTCTTGTTCTCGCAGATGCGCAACCTTCGAGTGCCAAGAAGACTGCGCCGAAGAAACCGGCTAATGGCAACAATCAGTTGAACGGAAGCGCGGCTCCTGCTTACTCAACCATGCCTGGTCTCGGCGACGATGAATTCCCTGGCTTCCCCCATGAAGATTGCCCAGCTGACATGCCAGACCTTTCTGAGCATCATAGTGTCATGGCCGACGTGTTAAAGGCTGATCCTGAGATATATGCCAAACTAAAAGACAAGAAAACGCCGAACGGAGTTAGCCTCGCGAAGTGCATCAAAACCGGGATGGACAACAAGGGGCATCCTATGATAAAAACTGTCGGTATGGTAGCTGGTGATGAGGAGAGCTACGAGGTCTTCAAAGAGCTATTCGATCCTGTCATCGACCAACGCCATGGTGGTTACCCTCCTGATGCCAAGCACCCCACTGATCTAGACTATACCAAACTCCTCGATACTCCAATTGATCCCTCTCAAAACTACGTCATATCCACTAGAGTGAGGACGGGTCGCAGTGTGCGTGGAATTAGACTTCCACCATCTTGCACCAAAGAAGAGAGGAGAGAGGTCGAGAGAGTCTTAACTAAGGCACTGAAAGCCTTGGGTGGAGACCTGGCTGGTGACTACTATCCGCTTGCTGGCTCGGATAGCTATCCTGAGAAGCCTGGGGGAATGAGTGCCGCTGAGGAGCATCAAATGCGTGAAGATCACTTCCTCTTCCAAGAGCCTGACTCTACTCTTTTACTGTCGTCTGGTATGGGCCGACACTGGCCGGATGCTCGTGGTATCTTTGCCAACGATCAGAAGAACTTCCTGGTTTGGGTGAATGAAGAAGATCACATGAGAATCATATCCATGCAGAAGGGTGCCGACATTAAGACTGTTTTCACTCGATTCTGTGATGCAGTTAACAAAGTGCAGGAGGTTGTTAAGCAAGAAGGCTACGACTTCATGCATAATGACCATCTCGGTTACGTCCTCACATGTCCAAGCAACCTTGGCACTGGTCTTCGTGCATCTGTCATGGTGAAGGTCCCACTACTCTCAGCTAGGCCCGACTTCAAGGATATCTGTAAATCCTTGCACCTTCAAGCTCGTGGTGGTGCTGGAGTTGACAGCGCCAGTGTTGGTGGTATCTGGGACATCTCCAATAGTGATAGAATTGGCAAGTCTGAGGTCGAGCTCGTGAACATCATGATCTCTGGATGCTCGAAGATCGTTCAGATGGAGCAGGCATTGGAGAAGGGCGATACAGCTGCTTTCGAGGCACTCAAACCCGCCAGCACCAAATCGTCTTCTGGTGATCACCCTGACTACTCGACCATGCCTGGCCTCGGCGACGACGAGTTCCCTGGATTCCCCCATGAAGATTGCCCAGCTGACATGCCAGACCTTTCTGAGCATCATAGTGTCATGGCCGACGTGTTAAAGGCTGATCCTGAGATATATGCCAAACTAAAAGACAAGAAAACGCCGAACGGAGTTAGCCTCGCGAAGTGCATCAAAACCGGGATGGACAACAAGGGGCATCCTATGATAAAAACAGTCGGTATGGTAGCTGGTGATGAGGAGAGCTACGAGGTCTTCAAAGAGCTATTCGATCCTGTCATCGACCAACGCCATGGTGGTTACCCTCCTGATGCCAAGCACCCCACTGATCTAGACTATACCAAACTCCTCGATACTCCAATTGATCCCTCTCAAAACTACGTCATATCCACTAGAGTGAGGACGGGTCGCAGTGTGCGTGGAATTAGACTTCCACCATCTTGCACCAAAGAAGAGAGGAGAGAGGTCGAGAGAGTCTTAACTAAGGCACTGAAAGCCTTGGGTGGAGACCTGGCTGGTGACTACTATCCGCTTGCTGGCTCGGATAGCTATCCTGAGAAGCCTGGGGGAATGAGTGCCGCTGAGGAGCATCAAATGCGTGAAGATCACTTCCTCTTCCAAGAGCCTGACTCTACTCTTTTACTGTCGTCTGGTATGGGCCGACACTGGCCGGATGCTCGTGGTATCTTTGCCAACGATCAGAAGAACTTCCTAGTTTGGGTGAATGAAGAAGACCACATGAGAATCATATCCATGCAGAAGGGTGCCGACATTAAAACTGTTTTCACTCGATTCTGTGATGCAGTTAACAAAGTGCAGGAGGTTGTTAAGCAAGAAGGCTACGACTTCATGCATAATGATCATCTCGGTTACGTCCTCACATGTCCAAGCAACCTTGGCACTGGTCTTCGTGCATCTGTCATGGTGAAGGTCCCACTACTCTCAGCTAGGCCCGACTTCAAGGATATCTGTAAATCCTTGCACCTTCAAGCTCGTGGTGGTGCTGGAGTTGACAGCGCCAGTGTTGGTGGTATCTGGGACATCTCCAATAGTGATAGAATTGGCAAGTCTGAGGTCGAGCTCGTGAACATCATGATCTCTGGATGCTCGAAGATCGTCCAAATGGAACAGGCATTGGAGAAGGGCGATACAGCTGCTTTCGAGGCACAGCTTCCTACGTCTGACTAATTGTGTCTTCATTAGCTGTAAATACTGATGAGTTATGAACTTTCAACTATCACTATCAAGACGTTTATAAATAGTGATGATGACTGATAACTGTTGTCTTTGTTCGAACTTGCATTGAGTTTCTTTACAGTCTCGCATACGGCCGAACTCTCCGGCGTAGAGTCTAGGCGAAAATCGAGAAGAACTAGAATACTCCAGAAACCCTGCCACAACGCGGATTCTTACTACAAACGCGCGTCCTCATCTCACTATCGTCCACAGGCATGTGATAACACACTGGATAGGGAAGCAAGTCTAAGTAAGTTGTGTGCATGGTCATGGAGATAACTACACATTCATGAGTCTGGGATACAGATGATGGCAGAGTTGTAATTGTTGTATGAATAGTCTCCGGTGTGGGATGATCACTGCCTCGTGAGACAGCTTCTGGAGCGGTACAACGCCTCCAACCAGTTCTCTTGGTGCTATCTACTTCCCAGTACTTGCGGAGGATTATTGTGTGAGTTAACATGTGGACACAAAAAGTACTCCGAACGTCTGTTTCCACGATGCGAAGTGGAAGCTGGTCAGCGAACCCACACCGTTCGAAGGCCTTGCCAATTTCTGATCTAATAAGGTCATCACGACACCGTCCTAGACGGCCCAAGAGGCTCCCATCTCTGGGGGGTTCTCCCTCTGGGTTATGCTGCGCCGTGGTTGCTGACAAAACTCAACAGGCTTGACGTCAGGGGTCGATTATGCTCAGCATTTGCTGTAACCAATCAGTAACGTTATCCTCGCCAACTACTGGCGATACCAGTGCTCGAATCTCGTCGACTACGAATGGTTTGATAGCACTAAAAGGCCCAAAGGCCAACTCGAGACACAGTCGAATATCAACAGGGCAGTCTATCGTCGATTCATGCTGCTCGTCTTCACTAGTAGCAATGGCGAGGACTTGACTGAACACGTAGTTGATTGCCACTTCAGCAAGGTAGGGATCGTTGGGAGGCAGATGACTTTGGCAAAAGGACACAACGCCACTCCACTGGTCAGCGGCGGCCTGAAACTGTCCGATCTCGAGCAGAGCTCGGCAGCGTTCCGTCATAATGTGTGTACAGTCTTTAGCTAGGAACCGCCGGTCGCCACTCTGAGACTCTGAGAAACATCTGCTAAGTAGACTCTAAACGCTACGCTCCTGTCCTCACCTAAGAGCTCTGCAGTTTTCTCGAGACGGTCCATCGGCTCGAGCACCTTCAACTGCAACCGATCTTGCAAGGTGAATGGCATGATAACAACCGAGTCATCGTCGTCTTCCTTAGTGCAAGCTGGACAATTACAGCTGAAGTCTCGTGCGAGGTGCTTTTGTCGAACAGCTTTCGGCTCACAGAGCAAATCGCTGCCGATGTAACTGATCAAAATGAGTTGTCACTAAGAGGACCATCCGTCGTCTCACGAGATGGTCAGCTCTTGGCCTCGCTTGACATCAGTACACGTCCGGAACCACGTGAGGTCTCCAAGGGAGGCTCTTGTAACGTTTGGCGTGCACGAGTGGTTGAACATCGAAGCAACCGGGTACACAGCAGTTCCAGTGAGGTAGCGGTTATGATCTTCATAGGATGCGGCCTGAGGGCTCATGCTTACGTTGGACCGCCGTTGTTTCCTACTAGTTCTGGGAAAGTGTAGAAACCCATGGAGTTAAGACGGGCTGCATCGGTCAATGCTGCCTGCCATGTGGACTCGTCGAGCAATTCCCGTAAGGGATGGAGATTTCGGACCTCACCAGGGAGGGAACCAATCGTCGGATACATCCTAAAAGTCAGGCTCAGTAGGGCCACGTCACTAAGAAGGTCAGTCACACTCACTCTATCAAAGCAGCAGCCACAGCCGTCGTATCAGTGATGTCCTCCGAGAGCAACTTCTGGTCCATCACCGAGACCACGGGTCGATCCATGAGAATGAGCGTACCTGTACATCATGATACCATGCGACAGGACTGAAAAGGCCCTTACCAGCTTCCAAGTCCTCCCTCGCCACCATGCCGAAGCCAGCTCCCTCGACCTCATCCACTGCAACCTGTGAGCTCACCACGAAGGACACCCTGGGAATCCCATCGTCCACGGCATCAGCCGGCACTGCGCTGCTCGCCTGCAGAGACCACTGTACCACAGCTCTTGTCTGGTCTGCCATCAACTCACTGGTTTCAACCCGAGCGCCGATACCAATCTCATCCCAGACCTTTCCGCAGGAGTTATCTCCATCTTTCCCAGTTCGGATACATTCCCAGGGTCGCTGGCCCACGCCGAGAAGCGTTTCTCCCGAATGATACGTCCACGAGCACTCGCCATCATAGCCTTCAGGTCAACCAAGGCGTCAAGACAGGGATGCGCCATCCCTAAGATTGGTGTTGGTTCTCTCGCGTGGGACTCAGCCTTCGCTCGCTTCGCCGACGGATCGCTCATTCAAGACGATTTCTGCGTCCGGGCGTTTCCCCCACTTCACTGCAATAACACAAAAGCCTCTATCCATCAGGAAATGGTACAACTGTATCCGGCCCTGTGTGCAGGGAAGGATCGTGCATTATACGTTAGGCGAACATATCATCTATATCATCGATATCGGCAAGTACTCCAGCATTGGAGGGTGTCTCCATAGGCAGCGACTGAGAACAACCGACTCTACCTCCTTCATAGTCAGCCGATCTCACATCATCGTCCGGTGTAACATCATCATCCGGGGTCATCGCCGGTATAGCATCCTGGGTCATCGGAGGCAGCTCCATCTCCTCCTCGGTGTCCACGTCCGAGCCCTCCTCTGGGGGCTCTGGAGACGGTCGCCAGTCCATTGAGAACACCAGTAATGTCTTGTCATCCTCGCTACCACGCTGACAGATGAATACATCCCTACAACTGCATGACCTTCTCCTCACCTTTTCCGCGATCTCCATAAGGTCATTGATACCTTCGTCCAGTTTGCCCAACGCCCTGTACTTCCTCAAGTAGCTTATCACCTGAGGGCCTCATACGGCTCCCGAACGACGTCACTCAAGGTTCACCTCTTCATTGTCTATTTTATCCCAGATGCCGTCCGTCGCCACCACAACGAACTCATCCTGGTCGAAGTCTATGGGTGTAGTGACGATCTCAGGTTCCGCACTAACGTACCTTCGAGACAAGACAGCTACTCCTATCCATGAGAAGACACCCTTCTCACGCTTGGGGTTCCTTCATTTGGTAGTCACCGAATGCCCGGGATACTGCCAGTCCTTGAAGGCCTCGCAGATCCTGCTTCACCACGCGCCATACTCCTGCTACTTGCCACACTTTTCCTAAGTTACCATCATCCTCCCTCCTCCTCCCCGACCCAACCCTCACCTTTTGGTAGTGCTTCAATTCGCTTTCGCTCCTCATCATTATCCGGTTTATGATCCTGTGTCAGCTGCACTGCCTTCCCACCACGACACAGGACCTACATACACCAAATTCACCTACACCGAGAGCGCCCCAGGGCTCCTACCGCCCGAGTGTCCCCCAAGTGCGCCGTCATCAAGCTCAGCTCCCCCTCGAGGTTAGGTCCATAGAACACCACAACACATGCAGTGCCTGACGACCTCATTTACTCTCACCCAGTTTTCACTACCCAAACTACATCCACTGGTGTCTTTCCGTTTCTTGCCAAAGCTGCTCGTGAAGTTATGCTCAGTCACTTCGAATCCTTTCCTCTGAAATGATGATCATATTATACCATTCCTTCCCCTCCTCTCCAGACCCACCACGAACTTCTCCAATTTCTTCATTTCCCCCGGCCCACCCTCCTTCCGCTGTCGCGGAGTGTTCTGCAGCTGAGCCGCGATATTCCGGAATAAATGCTGCGATACGTAACTAAGAGCAGCCAATGCGAACCCCAGCTCCAAAGGCCTCCATCTACTCCACACAGCATTGCCCTCCGTGACCATCGAGGACCCCACCAATGATGCCGCACGCGTAGGTCTCCTGAGGAAGGACGACGTGATAGAGCTGGTTAACTACTAGACCAAACTCACATCAGCTCCCTCAGGGAGGAGTGAGGCTACTGGCAGGCGCTTCTTCTCCAGATACCGGTCCTCACAGAGGGCTACACCTAAAGGTCCACCTTGCCACCCAGGATTCCCTGTATGCGTTTCCCTATACTCGATTCTATCTCAGGCGTCCCCCTGTCATCAGATCGACTGACCTTTCTGGGGGTTCGGCCGTTGACCATAGTGCCCTCGAATGTTCTGCCATACGTCAATCTCAATATCCTCCTCCTCATCATCCTCTTCCTCCTTCTCCCCCTCCTTAGCCGCCTCATCACTGCTTCCAGCTGTCATACTCACATCCCCAGTCGTGGTGGGAGACTCCCCCGTGGGCTCCTCCGTACGAACCTACCAAGACTGCCTCTCAACCATACTGCTAGCATCGAACCCCCCCCCCCCCCCCACATCCATCTTACTACCTTAACATTCACTGCGCTGAACTGACCATTATCCTCGGCTATATCGAAGGTCACTGGCATCCCTGTATCCAACTTCTCTCTAGGAACGAACACCTTCCTCCTCCCCCTCTTAATCTCATCGACACTCTAATCACTCACATCTCATTGGCATCGAGTAAATCACGTCGGTTGAAGTAGAGGTCGTCCTGGCTGGCTGAAGTGTCTTCATCCTCCTCATTTTCCTCTGCTCCCTCAGGCGATCCAACAACGGTGATATACCCAAAATGGCGCTGTGGGGAGTAACTGCAGACATGATCAGCTCTCAGCGATTCTGAGGTTGGCTCGCGCCTCGCCTTACAATTTAATTCGGCCCTTCAGGGCTCCTCCATCCTCAGACGAGGGCATCTCGGCAGCTTCATTTGAATTGGCTAATTCTACAGATTCCGTAGTCAGCACTTGAGTTTGTGCGTTAAAATAAGAACCCAGCCCGGGATTGAACCTGGGTGATCCTCATGAGCGCCGTCAAACCACCCCATTCACCCACGTCCACTGATCTTTCCCCGGGACCACACACATCCACCATCCCTCTCCGGCCTCCATATATACCGAAGTCCCATCAGGCAGCGTCGAACCGAATTTGATCGGCAGATCAGCAACTGTCGGGGACGATGGCCTCGTCGGGGCCACAGCGTCGTCTTCATCGACCTGAAGACTACTCCTACCACATGGAGGTAGCTGCGACTGCTACCATGGTCTGCTTCTCTGGGGCTTCCTCATTTGACACTCTAACCCGCTTAGTAGGAGGCGGACTCGACTCTTCTGTGGGCTCTGCCGGGCCCACCATCGATGCAGTGTCAGTAGTAGACATATGGACCAACCGCAACTACGATCACAACGAGCGCCCCTCCGAAGAAGCAACAGACTCAATCGAAGCAAGGATACATTCAACCACTCTCGTCAGAGGCCTCATCACTGCTGCTACTGTCATCATCATCATCACTGCCACTACTCCCACTCGAACCAGACTCGCTATCAGACTCCTCCGACGAGCTCTCCTCATCCTCTTCTTCATCTCCCTTCCGTCGCTTCTTATTCGCTGGGGAACTCTGAGACGAACCTTTCCACGACTTAGGCCAACTTGACGGTCGTACATCGTCCGTCTTCCTTCTCTTACTGCTCGTATTCTCAGCCTTTTCCTCCTCCTCCGGGGCGCCTTTGGAAGTCGACACGTACGCCTGAATGCATCACCAATACCCCCAACCCGCTATTCACCAACTATAGAAATCTCAACAGAATCAACACCATGTACCACAGAAGGCCCGGGATACTCACAATCGCTGTCTACAGGGACGAGACACCTCGCTGCTCTATTACACGCCCCCATCTTACTCGGGCTTCCTCAACAGTAATAGGTCGCTTGAACCAAGCACTCAGGTCCTTAGCCTCCGATTCAGCAGCATCCCGCGGTCGGCTGGGCAGAGACTCTATCCTGACCTTCGACCGCCGCCTGAAATGGAACTCCTATAAACAGACGACAGTCCCCATCCTACTTCCCATTCACACCGAACCCAGCGCTCTGCTTCTTCCTTAGGAGCATCTTCGGACCAATAGGGCCATACACTGCCGGCTTGTCCTTAGCCGAGGGGACGTAAAATAAAAACTACGAGGATATGACAAATTCGTTTTCGTGGAAAAACACTACCTCAGTTTCCTCGTCTCCTTTCTGCCTTATTTGCCCTTCGTTGGACCAGACAAACGATCGGCCCTGACAGGCATCGACTCAAGCGCCGCGCGGGTGGACAAGGGGTTATTCTCACCTTATCCAGAGGAGTGTCACTAAGTGCGTTCGGATCCGCACTTTCAGGCTTCTGGTAGTATCCAAACTGGGGACCTGAGCGCATTCAAGACTACTAGTGTGAAAAATGTATGAGCAATGCGGACACATCTCGTTCCTTGGGATATGGAAAACGGCAAAAGACCGGATATGGCAAACTTCCACCGACAACGTGTAAATTTGCGCACTCCATTTGACTGATTTCCACTTGAAATTTACCTTTTTTGATACACTGAAGACTATTCTAATACCGTAATAAATGACAAAAGAAGAGTATAGGGAATACGGAACACACTCGCGGTGATGAGGAGTGGCAATGTTCCGAATACTGTAAACTTCCATGATGTCTAAATTCAGTGATTTCCACTTGAAATTGAGCTTTCTGAATACCACACCAGGAAGACCTACATCCGAATTCAACATCCTCATCCTCAGAATCGCTGTCCCTATTCCCCTCTCTGCGAAGGACCGCACCCGTCCAAGGCGGCGGCGGCGGTGCTGCGCTGGACGACGAAGCCCCAGTACTGCCAGCTCTCTTCCGGTTGCCGTTACTTCCCGGCATGACACTTTCAGGGGGCTCGTCAAACTTAACCTGAACTCCTCTCTACTACATCTTCGCTTTCCTCGGATGAGCTCACAAGTTTTCACAAATACTGCAACAAAATTCAGGTAAGGTGTAAAAATTGCATTTTGTCACCAACACACGAAGTTGACCATGTGCATATTTTTCCCCCCACACTTTCTGAAACAGACTCCAAACTCCTACTTGAATATAATCATGTTCTAGATAGAGGTCGATGTTAGGAAGGAGTGGTAGGACTCTCTTCACATGCTTCTTCCGCTTGAACGTAGGGTGGTAAAGTAGACGACTTTTACCAAACTGATAGGACGCTATAGCCAAGACTCACTCCGTCATCTCAAGACGCTCACCTCAGCATCTACCTCCTTAGCCTCCTCAAAGGACTTCTCAGCTACATCAACTACTTCCCGCTCTGTTGGGACTAACAAAAAATCAATGTTACCAACTAGCATGCTACTACTGCTGATTCCGCTCATCACGACTTCGACAATGATTCGAAATTACCATCGATTTTCTCAGCCTTCTTTTTCTGCTGTTTTTTCTGCAACTCCAACACCTCAGTGACTCTATCGTGTCCAGTGTCCAGGAAAATGTCGTTCGCCATGATCTTAGGTCGCCTCAAGAAGTGAGCAGTGTACACTGTGCTGGCCGCTGAATAGAAATCAAAGTAAACGAGGAGTAGAGGGCAGGAGCTCACCTGGGCTCGTCTCCCGAGACTCCGGTGGTTCAACCGAAGTCACCTTCCCAACAGCAGTCGTATCGACCCCGGGTGTCTCTGATGACATTTGTGCATGCGTGCAAATCATCATCACCATTACCTGTGCTGTTCCCGATGAGCGAATTGAGAGAGATGTTCTCTGGGGGCTTCGACGAGAGTAGCGCCAAGTCCTCAGGGTCCAGCTTAGCTCGGTCCGAACCCGACAAAGGCTTGCATGCAGCATACCTACAGTGTGTGCCAAATGTTATATAAATATCAACAAAAACGCGCTATTGCCCAACAGTGGTCTATCTAAGCCCTTGTGCGTGGTTTCCGACATCCTACTCAGCATTCGAACCTTCGCATCTACTTACTCTACAGAGCTAACGAGTGAACGAAAATTGTCCACCGCTCGAGAATTCAACAATATCGAGATTGAATATTCTATGAAGAGAAGCAGCGCCAAGACGAGAGCTGCACAGCATCCTCTCTACGTACATGGTAGGGTCGATGAGATCAATAAAGCCCAGCCTGGCCTCATCCACAATAGAGGTGACCGGCTCGAGGGCGCCAAAGGTATATCGGAACTTAGACAGCTCTTGTGTGGATACCTATAATAGCAATACAGATCTCCTTTATACCACTCCTCCTTCACTTACCTCCATGGGAACGACCTTGAAGCCCGAATCAGGAACCGGCGTATCCACGTGGAACTGGTAGTCTACCGCAAGGGTCTGCCACAGAGGAGCTGCCAAATCGCTTTACACGTTAGGAGGCGTACGGCTTGTATCATATTAGCATTCCGTAGAATGCCGAGTTTATTCAGAGCGTCCTTATCCAGAGTCTTCAGCTTTTCATTGCGAAGTTCAGCATTGGCGCGGGCGGCCACTTCCCTGCAAGGACGCTGAGGCCCTCACCTATGCAGCGTACCCACCTATTCCGCTCCCGAATCTGATGACGGCTACGGTGAGTCGAATGGTGGCCCTTCTCACCTGCCCGACTGCCAGCAGATGAGCCGCCGTTGCTAGCTGTCGTACTGGCCTTGGACGACATAGGAACAGTGCGACTGTACAGTAAAGCCTCGAATTTAGCACTTCTCACACAACACCAAATCGACATCACCAGTAGAGAATCAGTAATAGTATCATACCACACATGTAGTTCCAACCGAGACAACACGAGGACGGATGAGGTGTCCTCCTGCTACCCTAGACCTCTAGTATAGCTCTAACTTAGGACACCTAAGAAACCATGGTCTAGAAAAAACCAGCTCAAAAAGACCCTAGTGAGGAATCCCCCCCCCCTTTTCTGAGTCTCTTCGGTAGTGGTCACTCCCAAATTCTACCTATACAGCCCAGCTGCATATCTGTTCAATCCTACAACCCTACTGGAGCTGCATAACTGATGTCCACTAAGTGGACTGTCGTGAGGTCTGATCAACTAGTGTAAACATCCTACTAGAAGCCAGAAGCCCATTGGGCGTTTTTTGCGACATTCTAATCCCTATTCGAACCTTTCTCAATCTGCAGAGTAAACGATAGCCGCTCGCTAGTCAGGGATTGAATGATACCATCTGCATAGCAACTTCCTCCCCCTGTAAACACCATCAAACACCCACTACCTGCCGACTCATTTTGAACGGCTCTCAAAAGGAATTAGTAGTAGAAAGCTATGACCTCTCGTATGTCAACGCTCCGTACAAGCACACGTCGTCTCCTCCTACTACGACTATGAATATGATTATAAGTGAACATAAAGTCACCTCCTGAACCCAAGGCCTTTGAACTCCTTTGTCTCCCCTTACCCCGAAAAACGTCAATCGCTGATTTGTGAGTTTCCGCGACTGAGTCCACCCAAGACGTCTCAGCAACAAGTGCTACCCTCAATGGTTTTATTCACTCTTCTTGATAAAGCCACGGTGAGCTCGCCGTACCCAAACGTCCGCGTATCATACGTACCGCACGCGGAAGAATTTGGCTACTCTCCCTATTGGAAACGGCAAGTGTCCTCTCGAGAGGTCCGAGGCCGCCCGCACCTACACAGCGTAGTGATATCCGGCCGCTCGCATCTAGGAGAATCTAAAAATATCTTTCACATGGTTGAGGTCTCACCCACCCCGACGAGTGGAAAATGGGCGCGCCCGAAAAAGGATTTTCTCCGTTCGCCGCCGCCTTTAATTCCACCGAAACAGAATTATACACATCCGATGAAGTCCATAGCTTGATATTGCACCCAACACTTCTGCGTTGTCAATCTCGGGCGGCCACCAACGCTTCGCCGCTTCTCATCCGGTTTGCCCATCGTTCCATGACGTCGACCCCCAACAACGACCCCGAGGACTGGAGTATGCTCGCCCGGTACATCCCCCGAGCGCTAGGTCGTAGGGCACCGCCCCTGTGCTCCCTCATGCTGCGTCTCATGGAAGTCGTTGAGCGACTCGCGTGGCATCAGCTGAATCACATCAGGGTCCTCGACAAGGACACAGCAGTAAGCCCACCAGTTGAACCGACTCGATGTCATCGACTCTCCCCTTAGGCTCAGTGGGAGATCTTTCCCTGTGTACTCAAGTGCATCGTAGACGAGATGGTCATAGTATGTCATCATCGGAAGACCGCTACAGTAGCAGCTGAGAGAGCTGCGGCAGCACTACCAGCTAGAGTAGCTCGCGGTGTCCAGACTGCTCCTTATGAAGTTAGTAAGAGAGGGCGGTTCAAGCCCAAGGCGATTGTGAATTGTAGCAGTAGCGATCCTCTCGACAGTCTGGAGTCACAAGCCCCAACACCGAGGAGAGGAGATAATCAGCACTTATTCGAACAGAACAGCGCACCTCGGGAGGCACCCAAATCTACTCGCGGGGTCAATACTAAGAGTACAGTACGACCGAGGCAAGCGGCTGAGTCACAGGCCAATCTCCCATGTCGACGATGTCACCTCCGGTTCAGTCAGAGGAGGAAGCCCTCTCGGACCGTAGGGGTGTCCTCAGTACCGGCCACCCGTAGCATTGGTGTCGACCCGGTCGTTGTTGGAGGGGCGCCCGTGGGTAGTACTCAGACGAAGGAGAGAGCAGTTGAGCACCTCCAAAATAGATCTGTGGTGGAGGGAAAAATGACCTGCGGATATCAGAGCTTGGCCAGACAAGAAGGAGAAAAGTCGGAGAATTTTATTTTGCACTACAGCATAAACAATGGACTTCATCGAGCTGATACAGGGCGCGAGGGGTCCAGCCTGGTCAGCGAACGGCAAACGGCAGAAAATTTCGTCGAAATCGCCAACAGCGATGCGGTCCTGCTAGGTATGGTAGCAGCACGGGGACGTACTAGGTCTCCTCAGCAAGGCCAGAAGCCGTTGGGTATCGTCCTTCGACCGAAAGGAGAGAGCTCAGTGACCAACAGAGTAGAACCATTGCCGCGTACTGCTAGGGTGGAGAGGAAGCATGATAGTAACTTTAGGAGTCGGGAACTACAACAAGCAGTAACGTTTGCTGCCGTCAGCGCCGGGCAAGAGAATCCTCGGGAAGATAGAATTACCGATGGGCCGAAGCAGCGACGACCTTCATCTTCGGAAGCTGCTGAGGCCCCACTGCCTCTCGAACCTTCTTTTCGGGAAGATAAGCACGTGTTCGATGAACCACCGTGGCACGAGAAGACCGTGGACAAATACTCGGACATGGTCACCACGTGGGTTTCCGGACTATGGGGTGCCTCGCCGCCTCCTGAGAGGAACCCAACTCAGCGTAGACTAACAAGTGGCAACAGCCCAGAGCTAGGGGACGGACCCGAGACGACAGGGGTGACACAGATCACATCAGCGGTTTCTCGGTATTTCTCATCATCTCGCGAGAAGGACCAGGCCCCAGTGGCAACAAGTACGTGGTGAGTTTACCTTTTTTTCCCGCCCTAGCTTAGTCCTCTCAGGTCCAGGCGGGCAAGAGCCGATCGTTCTACCAAATTCTATTTCAGCTTTCAACAGAAGGCGGTGCCGATAACTGCTTCTACTCAGTTCATCGCGAGGCTTTGCCGACATGCAACATAAACTATCACCGGTCTCCTTCTGCGTTGGCAACACGGTGAACTTCTCTACGCAGTTGTCCGACTCCGTATGTCCTCAGCCATCCCTTTAGTGTTCCACACGAAGACGCATATACTGGGGGAAGTCCGAGACTGGGAGCAACTATCCCAGTACATACCCCAGGTCCTATCACCGCTCTCGCCACCACTATGCAGTCTCATGCTGCGAATCATCGTAATCGCCAATAAGCTCGCTGAGCACCAGCTGGCCTACATCGACCACATGGGCCCCGACACAGCGGTAGGTTGATAGCCGCCTTGCCACCGACCCTTTTTCCTCAGGCCCAATGGGAGGTCTTTCCGCATGTTGTGAAGTGTATAGTAGACGAGATAGCTCAGTTGGGGAATAAGGATCGTGCCAGGGCCTGTGCCCAGACCCTCGAGGGCGGACTTAAGCCCAGTGTAGCCAGAGGAGTTCAAACAACAGCAACCTCGAACACTGCAGAAGACACTTATACTTCGAAGTCTCTCGATATGGGTCCCCCACCCCTATTGGATCGAACTTCAGCAGGACGAGGCGGTGGAGTGGGGAGGTCTATGCAAACTCGTGTGTGGGGGGATGCGGCCTACGACTCGACCCTTCCTCCTCCGTATACTCTCACACGCTCGCCATTGAAGGCAAAAGTCAGCGTCCAAACACAAAATGTGGCTGGGGTCGATACTGGGGTGCCATGCACTATACTGGATGGGCTCGCCGCGCCTGCAACGCCGCCGGCCTGGTTCGTTGAGGCGATGGGTGATGACTTCAAGCGAGTCGACGAAGGAACGACTGTGGCAGCAGTTGATGAGAAATCTTACGCTGAAATTATGCCCTCTGGTGAGGACAAGAATCACCTGTCGTTTGCAGAGAGAATCGGACTAGATTTGCCCCCGGAAACGCCTATAGAGGAACGAGTGGATGCTGAAGATCTCGGTGACGGCCTTGGCGAAGGGTCCCGGCAGAGGTCAGCATCCACACGTGATAGAACGAGAGTGGCTAAGCTGGACGGGGAAAAACCTGCAGCAGCTGACGAGACGAACAGTTACATGGACACGGCATCGGCGTGGTTGAGCTCCATATGGGGGAGTGAAGACACCCGAGCACCTTCAGCAGAAGTCTCTACTTCCTCCAACCGCCGGTCGACACTCAGCCGTCCTTCAATGGCCACACACGTCGTCCCTTTGCCCCCCACGCCAGTGCGGCGCCGAAGAAAGTCATGACGTTGTTGCGATCACCGCATGGGCCTTCGTCACGCTACCATTTATCGAGACTGTTCATGTGTTGTGTATCGCGGATATCGGCGACGTTACTGACAGGCCTCTCATATGTCTACGACCAGTACAGTTTTCAGCGAAACCCATCGTAGAGGCGGGACGCCATCTCCCATCAGGACTCGAGGTATTCTGACGCTTCGTGCTTCAAAGGCATGTCTTGTTTTCTCTTAGACCAAGCCGTGATAGATTTCTTTTCGGGGTACGAAGCCCTACCGTTGCAGGAGAAATCTCTAGACTCACCCGTACCAGTACGAGCTAAAGTATTTGCCATTAACACTCCACCACCTCCGGCGCTTCCCTTTGGTTCGAATGATGCTGATTATTCCTTCACGGTCGAGCAAGGAGTGCAAACGTCTTACAGCGGAGACACCATTCGATGCCCGCGGTGTTCTGCAATGTTCAGTATGATTGAAGCCCCCTTAGAGGCACTCGATGAGGAGTCCCCACCAGGGAGCACTGAGACGGATGACGGCGACTCGGTGAGCACCTCAAGGCTCCATAGACGCGTGCATGGCTACCGCGACTCGAGTGCAGCATCAGAAGTGCGAGCCAGTCTATTGATTGCCTCAATGCTCAATGCCGCTGGGGTGAGTCCAACCTCCAACTCTAGCGACACTGTTGCTCTGGCATGCACTTCTGACAGCGAGGATGCCCCGAATGATTGCGTACAACCGAGGTGTACTGGTAGCGAAACGATATCCGTCATTCTACCCGATCGAGTGCCGCGATCGAAACGAACAAAACCGGGCGAGGCGAGCCAAGGTCATCACATAGTCCTTCCAGAGAGGCGGATGAGGAGACAAGCCAAGCTCGACGCAGACTCACTCGGCCTCGGCCCATGGCTAGGTTTTGATTCACTCAGCGCTGCATTACAGCGATTCTTGCATGGCTTCACACGGCTTGAGCCGACAGGGAGCAAATGACCATATTGATGGCAAGTGAACATATTGATATTCCATTCATAGTTGTTCGCCCATCTTATCGTTTCGTGTTCTCCCTAGTGTATAACTTATAACGCAAAACCAACACTCAGTCGGGCTATTGCAGCCTCACAGTCTTTCGTTCACGCAATAAAAAATCACCACCTTCCGAAGATCCTCTAGTCGGCATAATCAACGCTTGCGGCTTCTGCTCAACAGGCGAACGTGTCGCTGATGGGGATTTTCCAGCCTCCTTCTCCGTGGAGGGCATAGCATTGACCAAGTTGGGGTCAGCATCGGCTTGCAGGACGTGGGATAAAGGCTGCTTGCCGGCCTTGTACCTGACGAGCAACCGAAGTCTAAGGCGTTGTCAGCTCACGTAGTAATACGATATCTTGGGGAGCTCCAGCGCTGCCTCACGGAAGCGAAGGGCGGCTACTGACGCCTGAAGCAAAGAACGATGAAACGGTGAACCGAAAATGACCTACCCCGTGCACTGCAGAAAGAGTTGTATGGATGCCTTTCACCTGGTCCTCCGTCGGGGTCTCGAATTCACGATTGTATGCCTCCATCATCCTCTCTAAGTCGATCAACCGGTCTAGACATAGCAAGGCAACAAACCTAAGAACAACAACAATTAGATGCTTTCCGAGGGAACTACTCGGTACCTCTTGAATTGGACGTCGTCCTTGGCCTTTACCATCACATCTGTGTGAACAACAACATCCACGAGAACCTGCGTCGAGACGATTTTCTCACAGCGGCAGAAGAAAAATCCTACGCGCTTCCCGATGGCCTTATCGGTTGCTTTCATATCCTCACGGCGCTGACCTATAGAGACCGGTATGAATGCGGTTTCGAGTTCCTTAGTCGGTTTGCCCTCCCGAGTCTGTGGTGGTAAAACTCTGAGCAGGTACGACATTTTTTTTGGATGGAGGCAAGTCGTTTACCTGTAGTCGTAGCAAACATTCACATAGAACTCTGCGAGAGGCTTTCCCTTCTCATCCCGCGCTTGCATGTCCACTCCATTGGTGCATTTCTCCAATATTGTCTTCACCACAAAACCTAACGTCCGCCTTCGATCTAGCCTGTAACGACACGATCAGCTCACCTGGCTTTGGGACGAACTCTGGAGTTCCTTTAGGAGGATCCTTCATTCCCTCGATATTTTCCTTCATCGGTCTGTCCTCCACTTCGCTTCCTCCAAGATTGAGCTTAAGGAGACCTGGTATTAGGCTTTCTGGATCCTCCAAGCCCAACAGCGCTGAGGAGTGCTGCTGGTGAGACATTATCACTATAATGACAAAATGAACCCTCTAATTCAGCATCACTATATCCTTCATTACTGAACTCAGCACTGAGATTAACCGCCATATAAACTTCTGTAGTAACCGAGCTGACAGTAATGTAGATGGCAAGCATACAAGATGAGTACTGAACACCATTCTTGAAAACTGCCTTGGAATGATTCTTCACTCTCCATGTTGATTCTCAATTATTTCTATCATCCGATCAGTATTATCATCTCCAGCGTTTAATCAGCCCCTGTAGCTGAGGCTCGTTTCCCCGAGCTGCTGCAAGGTCACCACATCCCATGGAGGTTCTGCTGGTAGGGGCGACTAAAACGATAAAAGTAACGCACCCAAAGAGGGAAGTCTCTGCCATCGCCGAGGCGGGACGGCCGTGATACTACCACTTCTTGGCCGACTCCAGCTCCATCCGAAAAAGAAGTGCCGAATCCGATCGCCCTCCGAAACGACGTTGCCAACTCCGACTCGTATAGTTTATCCGTGAAATCCCGTATGCCTTCGTTTCCCCAAGATGCATTCGGGTTTCAGTTTGGAACGTTGACGCTCTAAGCCGGCTCATCGCTGAGCCAAACTGGCTCGAAATACTCTCGAAGACCAAGCGAGCATCGAGCAATACAGATCATACTGATCGAGTATTCAAAAGATCTCCTACCGTGATTAGTTCAAGCCAGCTGTCGAAATCGAACAGCCATCCTTTAGTTTACAAGACTGGCGCTCTACCGCTACGCTAAACCAGCTTGAAATACCCTTGAAGACCACGAGCTGTCGATCAATGGAGATCATACTCATGGAGTGTTTGAAGAATCTACTGCTGCAATCACACAATGCGACCCACACTTGGCCGGATGGCGGGACTGAACCGCCGATCTTCAGTTTACAAAACTGACGCTCTACGACTAAGCTAAACCAACTTCGGATACCTCTAAAGACACAACGACGGTGTCGATCAATTAAGATCATGCTGATCGAGTATCGTGATTCGATCGCTGACTTCAAGATAATCAAACTTACACCCAACCAGCAGGCTAATCCGACTTGAAGAGTATTCGAAAACCATGAGAGCGTAGTCTGATCTAGATGATGCTGATAGAGTCTTTGGAGGATATCCCACAGTGATGAATCGAAACCAGATGGCGACATTGAATCAGCTGAGAAATCGGCAAGTCAGCGAAATCCATGTAGTTGCCATGGATTAATCCGAGACGCTACAAATTGAAGTAGACCGAGGTGACGCCGCTCCGCCCGATTACAACACTTGCCGGTTCCAGTTTTCCTACTGAATCCATGCAGAATACTCTCACTGTTGAAACTATCTCTTGAGGATCCCGTCCCGCAATCTACTAGTAGTAAGATCCTTCATGACTGTGGAGGTGGCCCTCGATGATGTTGCTGCCACCTTCATCACTTCATCCAGTTTACATATTACCAATCATCTTAACCTCATCAACAGCCAGAGAATAATCCCCTGGACCCTCCGAAGATCCTCACTACCCACAGACGATACGCCGGATAAAACATAATAGTATAACTACCGCAAGCCCAACGCCACCACCACCATAGTGATGTGCTCCCATTTGCTTCAACGTCACTCAGGCGTAAGCCGCACAAGCTTATTTCCAATTCATGAGCCCTTCCCGCAGTTGCAACATTGGCACCTTCACACTCTGTCGAATTGCAATTGCTCGATCTGCTCCAGCACTGCTTTCTTGTAAATAATATAACCAACAGCTGTTCATACTACCATTACACAACTCCAATTCACAACGCAAAATATCAATACTATGAGAAGAATAGTGTGGTTACTCCAACTGCTGTATCGATGCCATCAAAGCTACACGATAGTATCCTATAAGCTCCTCCGTCCGCATTCACGATGCAGCTTTATACAAACGCAGCAGTTCCGAAGACTCCTCGATTGAATGTACATTGTTCATCATTATCAAAAGTAAACTGAAGGCCCACTTCAAAGCGGTAGACCGCTCGATTGTGAGCTCGACGACGCCGAACCGCCGCCCGTAGAGAATAGATTCTTCACTGTTGACATCGCAACACCTCCTATCATCGTGAGTGCCCGAGTGCCTGATACAACGCTCTATGAAAGAACTGTCTCACACGGAAAGGGTATTACCTCCGGGTATATAGCTGACGAGGAAGTATGCAAGAGCGACCACTTGAACGAGGGAAAAAACAACCGTGAGAATGTACGACTTGCTCACTAGAGCACCATATAGCGTCGCCACCAGGGAAGCCACATAACCCGCCGTGAAAACGCGCTTCTCCGGTGACATAATGTGAGCTATGAAAGCCGCATGCCCCTAGGAGATGAGAAATAACAACAACACGGACGGTGAGTCAGAACGACTTACCTTCAGCACCGAAAAGCTTGCCAAAATCAGGCAGCTACCCACAGTGAACATGAGAGCGAACTTCTGTGGCGCGATGACGACCTACAAGAAGGTTGAGACTCCAGGTCTAGATACAAACAAAATCACAAAACAGAGTTTTTTTGAGGGGGTAAAATTTCAAAAATCCCAAAAATTCCAAGTGACGATTTACAGAAATCGGCAGCGAAGTGTTGGGACTTTCCTAGTCAGGCTCAGCCGAAGACCCACAAGGCGACGCACCAGTACTACCATTGGTAGGAACGTCAGAGCCAACATCATGCATATACAGCCCGCAGCGAACAACATGATGAACTTCCCTATCATGTCACGAGTCGATGCGATACCCTGATCTCAATGATGCTCGAACTGGAACAGATGATACTCACCGTAGCCTGTTGCTTCATCCCTCGGAAGGCTTGCGAACCGGACTGCATTGCTGAGTTAGTCCACTGTGAGAAGAGGCCGACATTCTCCTCAGCTGAAGAGCACAAATAAGCCTTGCGAACCCCGAGCCCAGAGCGCTACAGTGAGGGGAAATATGCACATGCTTTGGTGACAATATAAAACTATTGAGAAGTTTTGGGAAATTCTTGTTCGTTCCTGAACTCTCCTACCCGAATTCGTATTCAAGCTACTCAGCTCAGGTAAGAAAAGCGTACATATATTCCAACAGTGGAGCGCTATCTCGTACAAGCACGGATGACTTTTACTACCTGATGCGTTAGGGGCAGTCGAACTCTGCGAAGAGGGTTGTCCACTACTCTTCACTTTTCCCAACTCCAAATCGAACGCTGACAACGAAAATATAACTCCATCATAATGGAGCCACGCGATGGGCTATGAAAAATACATATTTTCATACCGTAAACTCGACAACTCCTAGCCATGCACATTCCACTGAACAGTGCAAGGTGTTCCCATCTCGCTATCAAGAAGCACGGTTTCCATGTGCTATCACAGCCCGAAGGTAACACTATTGCCATACCCTACACCTACGCGGGTCTAACACCCCCAACCTACTGTCCAAGCCATCTGTCTTAGTAGACGTCGATGCTCCAGTAGCTCCTGATGCTGCATCCTTCACGGTATTCATAGCTCCAGCGATTGCACTTGATATCGCACCAAGGACGACTGGCGCGTTAGTTTGTATGCTCTGACCTGATCAGCGCAATCTGCCTTCCTACTCTACATCCCCCTTCTGTCTAAACTATGCGTACTACTAAAATTTATATTGCGAAGTCCACACAACCTCAGCTACTATAACTCGCTGAACTACTCAAGTGCGAATACTTCTCCAACGGTCGTTCCATTTTCGCGGTCTATACAACTCCACGATGAAGTTGCCTTGTACCGTTGAATCAAACCACAAGGGCCTTCCCAAGGACCCGACCTCGTATTACCTGCCCGTTTGCCCAAATTGACCATTTTATCCTGATTGGACAGAACGGGTGGTGCCGCCGAGGAAGAGTAGAACTGCAGTGTAGAAGCAAAGTCCGGGCTATTGCTCTGCGCAGTTGAGGTTGCCATAGTGAGGTACAAAAGCTCTACCTATCAACACTCTTTCAACTTGACAGGTGATCCCGCAGGCAGATCATCAAGTTTATTCCGTTCATGGTTAGTGAAGATTCCCAACACAACTGTGGCATGGAGCTCGCCGAACTCGGTGTCGGCATAAGGTGTCCCGTGTGTCAGCTCAAACTATCAGTGAGCAGAAAAAGAACATAAGTGACCAGCAAGAAAGAACAGGGGCAAAGCCGCGCAAAGCCACGTTCAAGTACTATACCTCTCACGATCTCGAACCAACTAGCTGTTCCTCACGATGCAAGGTTATCAGTGTGAGCATTCATCACACGAGAATCACGATAAATCTGTGGCGATCTGGCAATCAAACCAACTGATCACTAATACAGCAAAACTTGTGAACACAAAACCTTGAGGCGCAAGTCGGCAAAACCTCAGACCTTCTTCACTT